TAACAACGGCCATCGATTTGCCCATATCGCTGGTGCCATCGGTGGGAACAAAGGAAGCCATTATTGTATTTGATTTCGCTCATTCAACATTGGTTAGATGTCCCTTGGTTTACAGACACTTAGTGATGTGTTTTACCTGAATGTGCAATACTAATATCTGAATGATAGTATGAACAATGTACATACTTTGGAATAACCTGGGCCCCGTTTCACAAAGCTCTCGTAGCGCTACAACTATTATAAGTCAGTGTTACAGTATAGTAAGTACGCATGCTACGAGAAAAGTTACGAGCTTTTATGCTTACGAGTTCTTTGTGAAACGGGGCCCTGAGGACTTGGTTATTCCTCAAGTAGATGTATATTTGTATATTTGTTAATACACCTCTGATCGTACATGATTTATTTTTTTTACATCAAATCTCTGTCAGGGTACAAACTGCAATGTGGGTGTACAATCGTACTTGATGACACAAAATCGTAATAAATACACCAAAATACGCCAGGTAGGCATGTCTACAACAAAACATTCTTCTTCACAACAAATATCTCTAGAATAACCTTTGATGACATGACGGTTAAAACTACAAACTGTCGACGATAACTGTAAACATACTGACGCATTAAAGCCGAAACTGTGAATAAAGACCTAAAATAACTATATCTAAGAATTGACAGCAAAAAAAGGCGTGTCTGCTGATGAGGTTGTCATATTTCGTGTTGAAACGATAATTTTCCGCGATCTTGTTTCGACACTCAGCAGGGTGCCCTCGCTTTGTAAAAAAGATTTGGTTGCCCCATAGTAAAAGTTCAGTTGGAACTTTTCATTCCAGTATTTGTTCCTGTAATAGTGCATGCAGAACAATTATTTCGTTCCGCGCACACATAATGTATTGCGGGTAAATAGGAACTGTCACACACATCCTAAAGTGTCTAAAAGAGGGTTTGTTGGGGTGGTCTTAAAAATTGGGGAGTGATTTTTTTTTTTGGAGACGGAAAGGAAGAAAGGATTCAATTCCATATGGAACAAATCTTGTGGCTATCAAGAAGCAATTATCATGTGTGAAAGTTCCTAATAAAAGGACTCAATACAGTATTGTCGTCAGTGGCACCATTTGTTTCTTTTTGTGGGAATTGGTTTCATCTTTTGTTATGGCTATACAAAATAGCACTAAATAATGTCTATTTTAAAAAATCCAAATAAACACCATCACAATATTTGATAATATGCATTCACTTAGTGGCATTTAGGTACGACCTAATAGCAAGCTTAACCTTAAATTTGTTTAACATCATATAAATCGGTGGTTGTGTAATAGGGCAGCCTAAACTGCCATTAGATATGGTTCACCTTTCTTTAAAAATCTGTGCATCTATTCCAAATTATCATTTCAAGGATGTATGTATAATATCTACATGTCGGATGATAAGGGTCCTGATCGAAATCCGGACAATACTGAAGAATTGTTCAAATTTAATTGTCTTTTAATTTGATCTACAGTTTTGGTAAACGTACAGTGATCAATATGGCACGTTCATTCTGATGGTTGCTAATTTCTGGTCACTAGTTATCACAAGCTTCATTGGAGCAGACTTATCCTTGATCTCGTCCAATACATAGTACAAAGAGCAGTGTTTTCCTCTGCCTCCATAATCGGTCTATTGCACCTCCCTGCTGTGTGTGGCAAATGGCCGCTCGTTAATTTGATTTTCACCTAGATCTAACATGATTCACTTGTATTTCGGGCTTGAGAAATCCCGGATGTTGACAAGTTGGACGAGTCCATTTTGCACACAATAATGATTGGAATAGGTTAGGCCTACGGTATTTGTTCCTGTTCGATGGAATATTTGCCGTATGTGCGGAATTTATATTCGTGTCATCCATACTCTATTTCACGGCATTTATTCCGAACTGGAACATTTACTACTCGGGACAAATCATGTTTACAGCTTAACGCGTAATTGCAATAAATAGAGAGTGTCAAGCTAATGCTGCTATTATGGAAAGATCTGTACATTTCTAGACCAGTCTGCTAAATGGCAAAACCTGATATACTTGCAAAATAATGAAAATGCGAGGGAAAACTTACCATTACTGTTGCGTCCCATGTTCTTCTTTCACTGTCCAGCGAGGAAATGGATTTGCTTTGGGGACATCTCCACATTTCACGTGGACAGCGCTTCCACCCTGTGTACTGGTTCCGTCATATTAGTGTTCACTTTGCTAAACAAAGTTATTTATGATTGGTTGTGAACTGATCCGCAAGACTGAGAACAGTCATATCAACGTTCATTAATTGAATTGTTATCAACGGTCTCACCTGCTATAGTTTCACAGGCTTTCATGTATAAGCTTGAGTATGGATTCTTACAAACAGTATATTAATAGTTAAGTGATAGTTCTAATTTGTGTTCCCTTTTTAATTTCATCAAAGTAGGGGTAAAATGGTATGGATATAATTTAAGAAGGTAACTTACTACCCCTACACCGTCGCTTGCCAAGATAATCCTAATCCCTAATATACATAGGATTAATGAGCATAGGGCTTGGTGTGACCGAACAACCCGACTTTCTAAGCAATGTGGCCCACATCAGGATGTAATGAGCTCTTCGAGATGATGTTTAAGAAATGTGTTGTGTACATGAAAAATGAATTAGGCGTTTATTTGCTACTGCTTTGAGTGCAAAGATGATTAATGCAATGTAAAACGTATGAAAGAAATAGTACATGCATCATCTGCAACTCAATTTACATGATATAATGCTATTTTTATAGTGCTTGGTCTTAAATTCTAGACTGATGTTGATGAACAAGATTTGTCTTGTGTTGCTGAAAGTTGGTTACATGGAACAATGTTAATATATGTTATGGAGTACCATGTCGAAATCAATAAAAGTTGGTAATGAAATTGAATTATTTTTTTGGTTTTGGGTGGCAATTATAACCGCCTTGTGGAACCGTTTTGTTATTACATTTCGTGTATACATATAATTTGTTATTTCTTTACTTGAATACCAAAGTTTCACTCGGAACTGAATGTGTGTGCTTGATGTAATCAAAAACTAAAATTCTCTGTGAAAAACTATAATACTGTGAAAGCAATTCAGTATACTCCTGCCAGGGTCTTCCTGGTGACAAAGTACAGTTTCTGTATTCGTTCACAAAGAGTGGGTGAGTGAGTTTAGTTTTACACGACTGTTAGCATTATTCCAGCAATATCACCGCAGGGAACACCAGAAATGAGCTTCACACATTGTACCCAGGCGGGGAAACGAACAAAGGTCTTAGACGTGACGAGCGAACACTGTAACCACTAGGCTACCCCACCGCCCTCATTCACTTGGAACTAAATTAAATCCATATAAAAATGAAAAGTATCTGATTAAATGCTTGATTAGCATTTTATAAGATGCTATTTGATGAACAGAGATTTTTCTGGGTTACATCTTTTTATTCTTGAGAACGTTTCAGGGCTTGTTCTGGCCCCATCATCAGGTAAAACTGAACAGTAACTGTATCTGTACATTTCTAAGTTAATCCAGTAATTTTGCAGTAAACGATATTTGATATATTCATAATAACATGTACTCTATTAGCCCTGTTTATAGCTGTATCTATTGACCTCGAAATGTATTGTGTCGTCATAGCACTGTGACGTCACTGGCAGAGTTAACAGTTACTGTTCAGTTTTGCCTGATGATGGGGCCAGAACAAGCCCTGAAACGTTGTACTCAAGAATAAAAAGATGTAATCCACAGAAATCTCTGTTCGTCAAATAGCATATATAACTCATACAATCCTTTCACAAATAAATCCCCAGAATGTCCAAACTTGTGTGATTTGATTCATTCCTTAACATAATGGTCAGGGGTAGTGATGTCAGAAGGATCCTATTGACCCTAAACCTCAACATTTAAAATTTAGCACTGAAAAAGTTAAGGTGTGATTTTTTCCCCTCGTTTACGCACCTGTCCATTTGCATGCAACCGGTCTAAAATATACAAACACAAAAAATCCAGCTCCCTGTCATGGCCAGGAAAACCAGTGATGTGAAGAATTTCAACAACCATACGTGTGAGTGAGTGAGTGAGTGAGTGAGTGAGTGAGTGAGAGTGATAAAATTGGGTAAATAATATGGCACAACATTCCAACCACCTTGTGAGGACACCACACATGGGCTTCAAGCATTGTACCCACAAGTGAAATCAAACCCAGGCCTTCCGGATGCAAGCAAACCTTTTCACCTTATAGGCACCCCACCACCCCTCACCAACTTGTGTCATTATCTGTAAAAACTGTCACGCGTAGGATTTTATTCTGGTGTCACAATAAAATCACATAAGAATATTTCTCAATTAATGTTTGCAATTTAATGCAGCACTTAGCAATATTCTGCCATATGACAGAAACTTATCAAATCAAAGAAGCTTAATCAAATCAAACCCGGATGAAACAAACCAGTGATTAATACACGGTTCCTACAGATTACCAGCCATCAAATTTAAGGCCTTTTCAGGGTGTTTTAAAGGCCAGACAACAATTTCAAGGAACTATGTAAACACATAACACATAAGTAGTAGAACAGACACATAGTTTGTCAAATGTGGGACCGAACATCAGAGGGCAATAACTCTTAGCTACATAGCTGCACTGAGACAGTTTTGCTTTGAGATGGCAATTAATTAAACACCTGCTGCTGTCATTGCAAGGTATTTTGTATCATGTGTTAGTCTCTTGTAATAACTTGGCAAGTTTGGCTAAATATAGAGCTTTTTTAGGGCAAATCTCTGACAATTTAAATGCTAAACAGATTAAGGGCCTTTTTAGAGTAAAATGTCCAAATTTCAGGCCAATTTAAGCCTGTGTGAACCCTGTAATATGAGTATTGCCTCACCCCAATGCTGCCACAAATACTGGTTTTACACATTATCTGCCTGGTTCGAACTCAGAGAACTCAGCAGTGATAAATCAATAAATAACAACAGAAAGAATACACCATCATGGTTAAATTATTTTATGAATCAAACATAATATATTGAACATTCATGAACATTGGTAGAAATATATTTAATATAGCCTCATACATGGACAATGTACAAATGAATGTCTTATTAAAAGAAACATCTTTCCCTAGTTCTCCTTGTTCAGTATTGATGCTGTGTGTAAACTCTCCAACTCCTCGAACACCTCCCTACAAAGAACAGTGAAAACTTTGTATGAACTGAACAACTCAAAATAACACATTTTCATAGTGAGATTGGGGTGAATTTATCAATGAAGGATTTATTGATTGAGTTTAGTTTTACACTGCACTCAGCAATATTCCAGCTATATGGCGTTGGTCTGTAAATAATCGAGTATGGATCAGACAATCCAGTGATCAACAGCATGAGCATCGATCTACGCAATTGGGATACGATGGTATGTGTCAACCATGTCAGCGAGCCTGACCACCCAATCCCGTTAGTCGCCCCTTACAGGTTTTACAAGTTAGTTTTCTTACTTGCACATATAGAAGAATATATAACCGCTTCTTTCCCGACGGGTTCTAATTTCTGTTTCCGGCAGTTTGGACACATGGGCATCATCAAAGCTCAGCCAAGATTTCCTCTTCATGTTGTACACATCACTGATGTAATGACCTGGAAAACAAACACAAACTTTCAATAGGGCTTGTCCGACTTTGTTGTTTTATGCATCATGATCAGAGGTGACGTGAAATGGGGTTAAATGTCGCACTTAAGAATATTTCGCTCACATGACGATGTGCATGCGTGTGTATGTGTGGCTGCCTGTACTAGCCCAGACTTAAGCTGGTTTTATAATGCTAGCTCACTGAGATAACATGCCGCAGTTAAGCATGAATACCCCACTCAAACACATTATACTGACTCCGAGCCGACCAGCCCATGTTATATCTATTAATGTGTCTTAACGTCTTTTGGTATGACGCGGCCGGGGATCAAACCCGCGGACGCTCTAACCACTACACCACGGAGACGGTCACATCATGACCAGAAATATAGGCATGAATAAAGTCCATTTCAGCTGAAATCAGTAAGCTGTGCAATGTGTCGGCCCAGTTTTTCAATTCAATCACAGCATGGAAGTAGAGCCTTAAGTGATGCAGGTCTCAGTTGTTTACCATTGTGATGAAACACAAGCACTGTGCTGACAATCCCAAAAATCATCATTAGGGAGACCTGGATTCTAACCCATGACAAGGGGTTTCTGACTGCCCATAGGTTGCAGTTCTGCACAGTCTTCAACATGATAAGCCAATGCTATAACCACAAAACAACACCACCACCCCAGGAAATTCAAACATTCACCACCTGTGGACATAATACTGGTAAGGCTAGAGTGAATCAAAATGGCTCATGAAGAGGTTTGAGGCATATTTGTAAGGACGCTTTTTACAGAGTCCACAGGCCAGGGTATTTTCTGAAAACGACACAAAGATATGGTGACAAGTCCATCCTGGGCCACAGACTTGCTCATTACTAATAATTTAACAATGTTTGCATGGAAAATCAATTTCTTCCAATTATTTCAACCACACTTCAGTACCTCATCACCCAATAAACTGAAGCTTGCATTTTATGTTGCTCAACAATGATTGTTCTGGACCAGATCCCACTGGAAATATTGACAAATTGACTAATCAAATCTAATTTACAACATTTCCAATCAACTGATTCAACCAATATTTAACGTAAAGCTTTTGTCAGCTGAATTACTTTCCAAAGATGTGAGAATGTTGAAACAACCGACTTCCATCTATTTCTCAAAAAACATCCTTCCCCAAAGATTAAATACACGTATGGTTGAAAAGAACTCATGGATTTTCAGTCAATACACAACACATGCTAGATGTATTTAAAAAAAGCTTGTGGCGTTAACTTACCTGCAGAAGAGCTGTGGCCTATGTGGTTGACTATACTGACAAGCCGATATGAACAGGGCAACATTCCATTCTGAAATAGTTGATCATAAGGTGACGAAGAAACATTTCAAGACAGCTCAACTTCTCCTATTGAGGGCAAAAGGACCATAACTCCGATCAGAACAAACCTGAGTGTTTGTTCTCTGATAATGATGCTTCTAAGGCTGTCCATAAGGAAAAGCTTATGTTTCTTTTTACACTACTGATACTAGTGATAACATTATTACTGCTATATTAAGCCTGCAGTAGTCAACAGATTCTCAAAGAAAAAGTAACCCAGGAAAGTTTTCTGGTTACCTCATTTTGAGATCGTTTCTGTTTGATCAAAAGGATCTCCTCTTGAGAGGGCTCATCTGGGTATATGTCATCCTGTTTTGCAGCAACACAATTAGCCTCCACCTCCGGCTTCAAATTCTCCTTTTCCTCCCAACATGTGAGATCTACTGGAACAGTCACATTATATCTTCATATATTTGAGGGTTGAACACCAAATGAAAATTTGTCATTTTTATTAGTGTCACTCATGATTCAATTTTAACTGTTTAAAGTGGCAATTGTTAGAATCAGATGCATCACTGTAATTCATCAGATGAACACACAATGCTTAGCTGGGAACCAGAAAAAACTTATTCCTTGAAGGTAATACCTGACTTCTAAAAGAACTTTTTTTCTCTCAATCCTTTATTTAACTGCAATCTATGATCACAGACTTTTCCAGCACATGCAATGCCAAAAAACAGGCAAACTGAATATTCTTGCGATGAAAACATCAACTATTCATCTACTAATTGCTGACCACTAACTATCGTACTACAATATCACTTAATGAACAACATACTCACCAACTTCATCATTGACAACTGTTTTTTTCCTTTCTGTTTTCTCTTTATCTTGGTCATTGTGTGCTTCAGAGCTGGCCACTGATTCATCTCCAAATATGTGCTCTATTTCTCCTTGAGTCAAACCCCCACACTGACCATCTGAGCCTTTTGTTGTCCTAACAGTTGGTGTTATCACAGACAGCTCACTACCAAACACATCCTCACTATTTTCACTGAACATCTGCTCCAGCACAGCGCCATCCACTTCATCAAACGGACAACTGCCCACCGTCGTCCTCCCTACACCGGTCTCTACCCCACTGACACATGTCTGTCCTTGACCAGTTTCACCATCAACTTCTGCCCTCATTTCACACTCTGTCCTGTCTCTAATCATACTGTCACCATTAACCAACTTGGTTTCCCTTTCCTTGTTTGACTGACCTCTCTGCTTTATGAGAGGAAATTCTGGAGATGCAGTCTCTGGTTCCTCTGCCTGAGATGCAAGGAATGCTCCACTGCACTCCTTCACAATGAGGCTTCTGCTTAAGTCAGTGTCTGAGGAGGCTGCTGAGAGATGTGCTTGGGCCCTGAGACTCCATCAAACTCTGCTGAATTGCAACTTCTATCCTCTGCTCTTCTGTCATCTGTCGTAAGTCTGTCTCTGTAAGACTTACTGCAAAATTAGATAAAAATAGCATTGAAATAACTACAGTCCAGTAAATGCCTTGAGTAGCATTCTGAAGATACAGCATTGGTGAAACCATCAAGCAAAGGTATGGTTCCAACAATTCCAAGATCATAATAGTCTCAAATGTTGGTTTCAAACTCGTGACCAAGAGTTAAGCCATACCATGATGGATTAAACAGTTAGCCGATCCAGGACTGATAACTATATTATGGAATCAAGGCATCTGAGTTATCAACTTAGAAGACAACATTTGATTCTATTCGGCAGCATAAAGCAAACATACAGCAAGTTATACTATCTCCATAAGTCATTAAGCTTTGGTATATTTATTTTCAAACAGCAGTCCTCTTACCACTGATGTCAACCTGTTGCCCAGCCTGAGGAAGCTCACTAATCTCCATGACATCATCTTTCATACTGTTATCCTCGTCTTCACTTGGACTGTCCTTGTAAGCTTCCTGCTGCTAACATACACAAACATACATTTACTACGGCAGCAGAAATGTAAATACTGCATGATGGACAATCAAATTCAATCAAAGACATCACCCACCTGAGTGGTATAGACATCACCCACTGACCTGAATGGTATAGACATTCTTGGATGAAGATAAAGTCACAATTCTACACAACACTGACGTTGATGATCAAACCAAACATAGGTCAAGGTAAGTTCAAGTAGAAAACATATCTGAAGCAAGAAATCCAGTAGTCTCCATCACACTGATACTTGATTTACTGTAATTAACAACCTTAAAATCTATCCTGATATGTGTGATCATATACAATTTTTAAAGCCATTTAAGCTTCTATATCAATGAATTTGTCCGGGATAGTAAACATGATGGAAGATTCAAATTAGAATGAAAAAACCCAGGCTCCTGAGGAGTGTGAGTGAGTTTAGTTTTACGCCACTTTAAGCAATATTCCAGCAATATCACGGCGGAGAACACCAGAAATGGGCTTTACACATTGAACCCATGTGGGGAATCGAACCCTGGTCTTCGGCGTGACGAGTGAACACTTAAACCACTAGGCTACCCCACCACACAGCTCCTGAGGAGTGTAAGATATCACTTGTAAGATGTTGCTCCTATTTGGATTCACAGAGATATACAGGGAATGAATGTTGTATTCTTATTCATGTCTCACAATAAAGGATGAGGACTATTTTTATGGATATACGACATAGTCGAAATGTCGCCTATACAGAATAAAGAAGTTGTATATCCATAAATATAGTCCTCATCCTTCATCTACCCAACTTCTAGAATGCCAATCAAAGAAATGTCTCACAATAAACTGATGATTGTATTTCAACCAATCCTGGACCACCAACTGCCTCCAGTGATCCCAGACTCACCTGTTCCTGCATCTTGGCTTCCTGCAGACTCAGCTCAATGGCACGGGCCATGTCAGCATCCTCTGTAGATTCATCCTGAAACATCCGTATTACCATGGTTACGGGAATGCAAAACTTCAAACTTGCAAATTTTGCAAGTGTAAAGAATTGTAGCAGTATTGCATTTGCTACACAATCATCCTATCTAGAATAACTGGATTATTTGGTTGCAAATAAACAAATAACTGCAGGTTTAACAGCCTAACAAACTATATGACATGTCAGTTAAAGAGCCTTAACAAACTATATGACTGAAAAGTAATGTGAAGGTCATACAAAAGTCCCTTTTCCTTTTGACATAAGGTGTATGAAATATGCAAAAAAAAATAGTAATAAAGGAATTGCTTATCAAAAACATTCAAGAGAAGTCTTGAAAGTCTATGAAGAAATTCCAGTGAACCGTTGAGATATCTTGCTGAAAATCTTAACATGCTGAATTCTGCCGACCTTGAAAATTACGTGAAGGTCACCAAAATCGACTGAACCCTGCGCCTTAATGATATGGTGTCTAATATGAAGAAAATCCAGTGCATAGTTCTTGAGATATCTTGCTGACAAGGGTAAAACATTAAAGTCCCTTTTTGACCTTGAAATAAATGTCAAGGTCACCAAACCTTTTGCATACTGTGATGAACCTAGGTACCAAGTATGAAAAGAATCTAGTCAACGGTTCTTAAGATGTTCCAATTCCCTAGCACAAAAGCCTGGCGGGGTAATAAAACAAACAAGAAGACGGATGGATGGCTTCATAGTACTATATTCCCTGCTCCAGAAAAGCCCAGCAGGGGATAATAAAACCAAAAAATAATAGAAACCTGATCATCCTGAAGAAGTATACAATAATTTTCCCCACCAAAACAAACACTCGGACATATTCACCAAATGAGTTTTCACCTACTAAACAAACACCCTGACTGATCTTCCAAATGAGTTTTCCTGAACTTTTTTGGCTACGTTGCAAATGCTCACTTTCACTTCTTTAAACTATCTACCATTCTCAAAACCAATCTGATCAATCACATTATCAGAACAAGTTCTTGTGATGTTACTCACCAATGCAAAGCTGGGAAATAATTTGCTGTCTTCCAGATCGGTAGAGTTCCTCCTCTCAGTATGTGGTGCTGGTTGGTCTGTGCTGTCCTCTCCTTGCTTGTTGTGCAGGGACTTGAACGTGTATCTAGTACATAATACCACTTGATTAGGTTGGACTACAACTTAGTACAAATTTATGTTCATTTAATTCTAAAAACAATACCATATTATCACAAAGATGAGATATTTGCAAAAGAGATGATTCATAATTTCTATTTACTTCGCAGGGGTGGCAAGACAGAACAAAATACACAGTAATGATCTTACTTTGAATCAGAAGTATAGTCAAGTTTCCTCCGAGAGTGATCTCCCTTGCGATCATCCAAGTCTGGCAGAGACTTCATGGGACTGAAGTAGACGAGAAGAGCTCATAGTGAACATGAATAGTACACATCAATCTCGAACATGATGAAAGACATTACAACACTGATCTTTGGACTATTTTCCATTACCTCAGTGATGTTAATATCAGTATCAAAGTTTTCTTTCTCAACTTTCTCAAATTTCTTATTGATTGTTATTAGTGAGTGCGTTTAGTTTCACATCACGTCAAGCAATATTCCAGCTATATAACGGTGGGGGACACCAGAAATTGGCTTCACACATTGAACCCACATGGGGAATCGAACCCAGGTCTTCAGTGTGATGAGTAAACGCTTTAACCACTAGGCTACCCCACTGCCCTGATTGTTATCAAAATATTATACTAGTAAAGAACAAAAAATCAGACTCAGACAAGACACCAAACGCTGTCGCTAATATACTGGTTCCTGTGAAACCCAAGATAAATTCTTGTATGAGGAAAATAGCCTGAAATGTCAAGAGGATGATCATTGAACGAGCACACATTGTTCACATCCCAGGCAGCATTATTAGAGACATAGTATGTTGTTGAAGTATGAAAGCTGCGCCATTATTTCAGCAATAATCAATGCTCTCAGACACAATCACCCAAGACACACCAAGTAACAACCCTGTCATCATTACACTGTAAGCGTCCTACTGGTCCTCAGCCATCCATGCTTGTTGTACAAGGTGACTTAAGCAGTGGGTGGTCAGGTTTGGTGGTTGAGTATCAATATGCATAGAATGGATGGTTACTCAAAATATCAATCACTGGTTTGTATGTCCTGTCTCAATGGTCTACTATTAAGAGTGGCATTATATACCAAACAAATCACTAGCTGGTATTGTACGCTACAAGACCATACTGGGTGGCTATCTCTTGTGGATTCCCTACACTGGTAAAGAGTGTTGAAGTTACCCAGGGTTTTACATATATCTTCGAAACTGGGAGTCCTGGGGACTCAGGGCATATGTTTTTGAGAGTCGATTTCCAAAATTGGTAGTCCATCAATTTGCATGCAATCAATGATTAGATAATGATTATGTTATAATATGAGTTACTTTCAATGTCATTAGAACAAGTGTTTGCCACTAATATGGCCATGTCCCCCGCCGCTAAAGAAGAACGAAATATTTATAACATATTTACTACTTTTTATATATTTGTCAGATAAAAGATGCCTGAAATGACTGGTGTCTGTATAATCACCCAATGTAGGCTGTCGACATAATTGAAGACATTAGGTACAATGTTTTATGACATATTGCGTTAACAAGAGTTTGAAAAGTGGTCAAAGTGTCGTGGTGACCTTGAAAATAAGGTCAAGGACACCAAAATTGACTGGCGTCTACGTAATCCCCCCAGTGTAGGCTGTCACCAAATTTGAAGACATTGGGTACAATAGTTCATGAGATATTGCGTTAACAACAGTGAAAATAAGGTCAAGGTCGCCAAAATCGACTGGTCTCTGTGTTATCCCCCAATGTAGGCTGTCGCCAAATTTGAAGACATTGGGTACAACAGTTCATGAGATATCGCGTTAACAAGAATCGGACGCTGCTGAATACATAGTCCCCCGTTCCGCGTTGCGGCTGGGGACAATAATGATTGTAAACACAATGTTTATATGTTAATATTGGATACCATAACAAACTCAGAAAGTTCTTTCCCAGAAAATAATTATTCTGCGGCCACAAGGACGCACAGGATATTAGTTTGGGGGTACTTCATCAAATTTCTGCGTCCAATACGCAGGAATCACAAGTACTGTAAAACCCTGAAGTTACCTTGACTGTGGTAGCACGCATGGTATGGGTGGAGGGCATTGGACATCACTATCAACATGAGAGGACAAAGACACATAGCTCGGGATGAATATCCTCTGACCCATCTTGCTATGTAGGGATATTGAAGCACTGTATGCATATCTTTTCAGGTGAAGAATCAAAATCCTGCAGAAAACAAAAGTGTCACACATAAATATCTCTATCTGTTTGGCAATTTCAAATCAAAAACTGTCAAATCAAAACTTCCATCAGTACAACATGGTCATAAACAAACATAAGAACTGCATCCCACACAAAACTGTCAAACCCTATGTCCATAAGAAACTAATTTCAAAATGCTCAGAAAATATATTCAAAATTGCCATATTTCAATGAAGCATACCTGGGTATCCTTGTGAACTTGTGTTTGACTTTGGACTTTGTGTGACCACACTTCGCACATGTGTAATCAATTTCTTCTTGTTGCAGGAACACATCCAACGCATCCTGCAGAGACTTGGGGTAACCTTGGTGACTGGAATGTAAATGACATGCTGTAAAATGTTTGAGTCAAATAGGGCTGCAATGTTTCGGTTCGATTCATTGAAAATCGAATCTCACACCTTAGATTCGATTTTGGAAAACCATTATCACTATTTCAATTCGATATTTGAATACCTATTTAAATTATTTCCACAGTTTCAGTGCTGAAATAAGGCGAATCGTCATTGGTTGATGCCGGGCTAATTATCCAATGAGAATTGTTGTAAGTAGACATCGCCAAGTTGACTCTGAGAGTTAAATGAAATCTGATGTTTTTACTTGTATAAAGAATCGAATCGAAAATGATCGAATCTAAGGTCCAATATCGAAAATCGAATCAAAGTCTTGGTGGATCATTGCAGTCCTATAGACAAACACTCAATAACAAGTGCTGGCATTGAGACTGTAATACACCACATAAATCAAACTAATCTGTATTGATCAAGAATAAACTGACACACTTGAACTTGATACGTAGATGTATGTTCTAAAGTACATACTTGTACTGGTTCACAGTGCTGTTGTACAAAGCAGACCTGGTGCTGAGGTGATTGTAACTCACATACCTTGACATAGACTTATAATAGTCATAGCGCGCTAAGTTTGAATACACAACACATTGATAAAAAGAAGTTGTTATCCATAAACATTCTTATTTATTAGCTCTGAAGTGTCGTAAATAGACATGCATTAATGTCCGTCCAACCTCAAGAACTTCAACGCTTAGGTTATTTAGTACAACAGCACCCAGACCTTCAGGTAATGGGGGCCAAGTGTCACCTCTGTGCAAAGATGAACTGCACCTGATGAAAAAACATCAAATACCTTCTTTGTGGCATCTCTAAAGACAAATCATTGAACTGCTCAGACTTCGCAACCTCCTCATCACATCTGAAAAGCAACAGAGAGAAAGAATTAATTCTGCTGTCATCATCAGATCTCATGTCAATACACTTCACTGGGGTATGTCGAATGTAATTGCAATTCCAATTCTATCTCAAGTATTTCAACTTACCAGCAAATGACACACTTGTTCAGTGCCACAGAATCAGCAATATCTATGCAGCATTTTTGACATCAAGATGATGACAAAACATGTCAAATGAATGTTATGATCAGTTATATTTGTATCTGGCTTACTTGAGACACGTTATTGTGTGAAGTACTTCAAATTCAAAATGTTATGATCAGTCATATTGTATATGGCTTACTTGAGACATGTTATCGTGTGAAGTACTTCAAATTCAAAATTGTCGAGGGTAGGGTTAACAAGATCAATGTCTTCTGATGGGTCTCTTGTTGGACTTGGCGTTGATTTGTTAAACTTCACAATTTCTTCCTTCAGCTGATCAAGGACTTGACTGAGGAACTCATGAGCATCCTGAATAAAATACAAAACCATCAATTAAAACTATTCTCACTTCCAAAATAGAGCAACACAGACACGAAATGACTTGACATGCTCGAAATCAACACAGTTTTAGAATCATATTTCAACAACTACATAACTGACATGACACACTTGTAGCTTGTATTGGATACAAAGAAACTCATATGGTGTTTTTTTAGCTTACATGTTGTTGGTACCCTGAGAAACGCTTGGCAGTTCCTGATATTGCACTTTTCACATTGCGAAGTAGTTCCCTTTTGTTGAAATCAGATGACCCAGGCCTTCTTTGAATCTTGACAAGTCTTGCCAATGAGCTGGTATAAGAAAAACGCACATAAGATAAGTCAAACTAGTAAAATTTGTCCTTGGTCATTTTTTATCCGATCATATAGATGTATCTACACTATTCACACTTTGCTTAGGATCAAATCATTGATTCAACAGAAAACTGATGTGGGGTCTAATTTGGTTTAAATATCTAAGCTTATTGTAAGTATGGATCCTAGGTTCAGTATGTCACTGCATCTTGTGGATCCCATACCTGCTATTGACAGGTGTTGTGTACTTGTCAATGAGTTGTTCCATGATTAGCAAAATGGTTGATTGGTGCCATGAAAACCATTTTTATGGTTTCTCATGTATCAAGTGCATAAGGTTATGTTAAAGTGGCTGTTTGCCTAAAGAAGGGTTATTATATTACTATTTATCCAGTTTAAATGGATACAATTTCAAATTATAAATCTATGTTTAAGGAAAAGTGTGAGTAGTAAATTTCCAATACTTCATGAAGTAACTGGAAACTACTACTGTTGAATTTGGCAATAACTGCGACAGAAAATGAAAACTTTTGATGGAAATTTTAAAAGACTGCTGAACAAAGGGGCATCACTGTGTTACATCTGAGAGAGCATTTTGGGTATCCCTAGTTTAAGTATTAGTATAAAGTGTACAATTAAAGTGATTGTACTTAAGTACTTACAAATAATAATCTCTTTCACATGTCATGCCTAGTTCCTTAACTTGATGAAATACACAGTCCTACCCAATATACACCCTTTATCATGTTGATGGGTGTGACATCCATAGAAAAAGAACACAAACACAATGACCAGAAGATCAGCATGTGCTCTGTAACAACAATACCCCAACAACATGCCAGGTAATCAATATTCTCACCAGTAGAGAGAGTTCGGCGAAAAGGACCGTCCTTTCTTCTTGAAGGAGTAGAGCAAATCATTGCTGAAAGGATTCAGCCCAAACAGGGACTGCAGGATAGCGTTCATGTAACATGTGTTGCCGATGTTGGAGAATCTAAAAGTCAGAACATATTCAAATACAATCTGTGCCAAACAGAAACCTGTGCCAAAGTAACCATAGGCAAACATAACTCATAAATTTAACCAAACCTGAAGAGGTTTTAAATTCTTCGAAGAGAGTCGTCCTTGGGGTACATATTATGCATTTTCCAAGCTGAAAATGTCCTGTGACAGTTGTATCAATGTTTTTTGAATAAAAAGATTGTACAATAAATAAACTCTTTTATTTACTATACGGCCCCCACCTCACGGAGTTACCTCCCGTTGCGCATGCGCACCAACTGGGTAAGCACCTAGGCCCGTATCATCATTCCTTCTGCTGAATACATCAGTGAACAGAATTGCGGGGAGGCGGGAGGCCCTACCCCAAGGACGACTCTCTTCGAAGAATTTAAAACCTCTTCAGGTTTGGTTAATTCTTCTTCATAGAGATCGTCCTTGGGGTGCATATTATGCATAAACACAGACTCCCAAAGACCAGGAGGCCAGGGAGGAGGGAATTCTGTCCAAGCACACACAAATAGCTATCGTTAAGGGACAAAATTAACAGACGCCATAACACTCACCTGTCACATGTCCCAGTTGCGCTTCCGCGAGAGGCATTATGGGAGGGGAACTGACAGGGAGGATTTGTGCTCAAAGACGACCTCCATAGGTTTAGCATAGGCAATCGCACATGGTACGAATGTCAACAAAGCCCCACCCACCACGTGTCGATTAGTGAGCACCGTAGGGGGGAATGTCAAAACCGCTCACAATCGACTAATTACTCCTGAGAGAATCAAAAGGGGGTAGTTAGCTCCTAGTAGCAGACATGTCAATAACACACAGTATTGTACAGTAGCGTCAAACAAAACCAATGAACCAAGACTCACTCGGTCAGGGTGGCAGGACACTGTCCACTGGAGAGAACAGAACGGCCAAAGCTCGCACGATTACGGGAATGTGTATCGAGCTGATAGTGCCGTATAAACGTGCTTGGTTGGCTCCAAATAGCGGCAGAGCAGATCTCTTCAATGGGGAGTGCCGATGCAAAAGCTTTTGATGCGGCTACTGCCCTGACCGAGTGAGCCTTCAACCCCTCAGGGGGAGGCTTGCCCTTAGCCTGATAAGCGGCACAAATACACGAAACTAGCCAGCGAGACAAAGTCTGCTTGCTCGCTGGCACACCAGCCTTCCCGCCACCGTGACAACAGAACAGCTGGGTACCCGTACGGATTCCCTGTGTTCGTTTGATATAGACTTTGAGTGTCTTACGGACATCCAACGGGTGAGTGCTCGTAGGAGAGGTCCCCGATGTGGAAGGCTGGGTAAGAGTGGGAAGTTTGATAGGAGCTGTCACATGGAAAGCGTGATCGACCTTCGGGCGGTAAGTATCCGGGAGGCGAATGCTGACACGATCAGTGTGAAACACAGTCAGCGCCGGGTCGGACGACATAGCATGTAAATCGCCAACCCTACGTCCAGATGTTACCGCCACCAGAAAAACAGCCTTCCAAGTTAACAACTGAATGGAAATAGCCGATAGGTGTGAGAAAGTTGGACCGGACAGCCAATCTAGCACAATTGACAAATCCCAAGGTGGACTGGTTCGCCTGAGATCCCCCCCCAAGACTCTCCGCCCCACGCTCAGAGTGGGCGAGGAACTCCTGCCGGAGTCCTCCAACCGACTCATGAACGAGGGACCTCATCGAGTCTGCGTGCTGCTGAAACATCTGAGTGATTAATGTCATGTCAAAACCGCTACCAGGAGCGGGAGCAGGGGACTGGCTTCGGGATTTTTTCCCTTTAGACTTTTTAGCCTTAGACGGGGGGACCTGGGTAAGTTCCCCTCCCGCCTCCCGCATCTCTCTATAAAAGAGAGTGTCGGCAGCCCTCCGCTTCTGAGCCCGGGAGGAAAACCCCAAACAAATCTCACAGGTTTCGGCCTCATGGCCGGTCTTCTCTAGGCAGACAATACATTTGTCGTGCCTGTCGGCCCGTGGAATACTTTGTCCACAGACCGAACAGGAGGAAAACCCTGAAAGCAAACACGCAAGCATGTAGCTAACGGCGGACCAGCAGCATATATACACGTAGAAAACATTGAAAAATACGTGAAGGCTACCACGGGAAGAAATAGTTGGTTCAATACGCAATATTACAACCACGTGGAACGCTAAACTTCCCGCCATGGCAGAGCAACATGTGCGTAAACCACGGGAAAGTTAGCGTAAAATAATTAATACAAAGTCACAATTATGAAACAACCGACTGCAAAGCTTTACTGTTCCTTTTGCAAAGGTAAGAAAGACCATACATACAGGTGGTGTTCCAGACATTAGTCGTTTTCTTTCGAAAAAGTTCAGCTCTGCTCGACACATACGTCTGTTAGAGGCAGTGACAGCAGAAGGAATGATGATACGGGCCTAGGTGCTTACCCAGTTGGTGCGCATGCACAACGGGAGGTAACTCCGTGAGGTGGGGGCCGTATAGTAAATAAAAGAGTTTATTTATTGTACAATCTTTTTATTCAAAAAACATTGATACAACTGTCACAGGACATTTTCAGCTTGGAAAATGCATAATATGTACCCCAAGGACGATCTCTATGAAGAAGAACTCTGTTTTGAAAGTTACAGTTATGCTTACAACGCTTAAACTTTGATAATTAATTTCAAACACTGTTAAACATGATTGCAAATATCATGGCATGTTAGCAATGGAGTTTTGTATGCTCAGCCTGCACCAGTTGTATCATAAGATAAGTGGTCTCTAAATAATCGAGTCTGGACCACACAATCCAGTGATCAACAGCATGAGCATCAATCTGTGCAAATGGGAACCGATGACGTGTGTCAACCAAGTCAGCAAGCCAGACCACCCGATCCCGTTAGTCGTCTCTTACGAGTGAGTGAGTGAGTGAGTGAGTGAGTTTAGTTTTATGCCACACTCAGCAATATTCCAGCTATATGGCTGCGGTCTGTAAATAACCGAGTCTGGACCAGACAATCTAGTGATCAACAGCATGAGCATTGGTCTGCGCAATTGGGAACCGATGACATGTGTCAACCAAGTCAGCAAGCCTGACCACCTCTTACCTCAAGCATAGTCGCCTTTTGTGGCAAGCATGGGTTGCTGAAGACCTATTCTACCCCGGATCTTCACGGGTCTCGTCTCTTACGACAAGCATGGGTTATTGAAGGTTCATTCTAATCTGGACCCTCACGGGTCTATGCGGCTTTTAGCAAATCCCAAGCAATATCACGGTTGGGGACGCCAGAAATCACTTCACACATTGTACCCATGTGGGGAATCGAACCCAGGTCTTCAGCTTGACGGGTGGACACTATAACCATTAGGCTATCCCACCGCCCTAATGCCCAGAGGAACAAGATTGGCATTGACAGTGACAAAATATGTTGCAAGTGTCGAGTGGAAGAATGTAGCTGACTCACCCCAGAAGTGACTGCTGCTGGTTACTGGAATCTTGACTCACTTTCTTCCCCCACGAATAGTTGAGGTCAGACAACAGACGAGGTCGCTTTTGTGGAGTTGGGTTAAGTGGCATCATCCCTGGTCTCTTTGCTGACCTGGATTAACAAGAAGACATGGTCATCCATATCCCCGGCCACAGTGTTCTGTTCCTATTTTGACAACTATTCATTCTTCCTACAAATAGTGATACATAAGCCGTTAAATGAGAAAATCTGTTCCCATTGGAGACGTGCACTAAGTCAAGAAATGCACGACAAGGGCCATAGCTCTGTAAAGGATCGTAACACGGTTTCTGTTTTCGAACTCCATCAAGGCATTTGTGTCCTGAAAATACATACCATGTTTGGTTTCCCCATCTATAATGGTTTTGGAAAAGATCTGTTCCCATTGGGTATACTGTGCACTAAGTAAAGAAACGCATAACTGGGGTCATAACTCTGTAAAGAATCGTAACACGGTTTCCGTTTTCGAACTCCATCAAGACATTTGTGTCCTGAAAATACATACCACGTTTGATTTCCTTACCTATAATGGTTTTTGAGAAAATCTGTACCCATTGGGATAACGTGCACTAAGTCAAGAAACGCATGACAAGGGACATAACTCTGTAATAAATTGTAACTCCATCAAGGCATTCATGTCCTGAAAACACATGCCAAATTGTCCCCATCATCTCGGATGGATGGACAGAGCTCAAACCTATATCCTCCTCCCACTTCATGGAGGGGGATAATAATTCACAACAACAAACATCAGTAACATATTCTAATCTTAAATTCAAATTTCAATTTGACATGAATATCATCATGAACTTCTTTTCTGGCTTTAAGAAAACCACTCATGGACGACATGATCAATGAGCATGATAAAGAGGAAGAGTATGTTATGCTTAATCTTACACCATAACATTTAATGTAATACCTCTGATTTAAATAAAAATGACCTTCAATTGGATCAAAAGTTTGAAAAAAGCAACAATTCTCAGGTACAGTAGAACACGGATATAACGAACTCAAAGGGACCAAGAAATTTAGTTCGCTATATCCGTTGTTCGTTATTCACATTTGACCGCCATCTTGGATTGTAGAGATGTAGACATTCACAGACATTACCTATATCATGTTGATAAATATGAAGTTTATTTTTATAATAAAATTGAAATAATACAACTACAACTTAAATAAATTTATTTTTTAATGAAAATGCAAGCTTACATTTATAATGTCCAGATAAACCACAAAAGAAGCAAAAACTGTAGCGATTTTTTTTCCATTTGTGACATGTCATAACATGCCCGTGCCTTTTTCTTTTACATTTTCAACAAGATTGATGTATACTGTACCGATAAGTGGCTGAGCTGACACTGAGTGAGTTCGCTAATCACGTCGTTAATTGGGTCTTGGGGGTAGTAAATCAGTTCGCTATAGCCGTTAATTCGATACTCACGAGTTCGTTATTCGCGTATAATTTTAATGATATTATAAAGGACTGTTGACGGGACTTTTAAATTTGTTTGCTATATCCGTTTGTACGCTATATCCGTGTTCGCTATATCCATGTTCTACTGTACCAAGTTTGGAATTATGATAAATAGCTGCACAGGCCACAAACTGACAATATAGTTTGTGGCAGATTACCATCTGTACTCTATACAGACTGGAAAACCTGCAAAATATTTTAAAAACAACATTGTTAAGTTCAGGGTATCATCTAAGGTTTTGGCCTTAGATTTGGTCTAATCAACCTTGACCGAGTTACAGACAATAATCCATGTCAAATACAGCATACAGTTGTGGAATCCCCTTACTCACCCTGATGATTCACAGGTTCTGGAATACATTTTCTGTGTGTGTGAAGCTGGAGTACTGCTGTAGAATCCTGAGGCTGCAAATGACTTCAATGTCTCCCTGCTCTTGTCCTGACCTTGCTTGAGGAACTTTTCAGCAGGCCACCTAGGACCACTACAAGGCAACAAGGTACATACTGAGTGATTATTTAATCTACATTTGCCTGTGTTAAGTAGTAATGACACAATAACTTGTCACCTGTTATTTCTCTTTGTTATCAGAAGGTAATGATGGTTTGCAGGTTTGCTTCTTTTATGGACAGCTGATACACTGACTTTATTTTACTCTGGACCTCTAATGTCAACTTTGAGATGTTTTACATACTAAGCAGAAAAATACATTAACAATACAATACAGTCAACCCCTGCTATCTTAAGCACAATGATATCTCCAACCTTTCTCTAGTCACTACCAACTCATTCATCAATTCATTAAACAGTGCCTATTTAACACAAATTTGAAATAAAATTACCTTTCTTTTATTGTTGCATTTTGTACTTTTATCTCAAAGTTGGAATTTTCCACATAAATTACAAATTACACATTCTATCAAACAGAAATGCCAAAGTGATTTTGAACATTCTTAACATAGCAAAAAATGATTTTGGCCAAAATGATTTTGAACATTCTTAACATAGCAACAAATGATTTTTCAGGCAAATGAATACAGCAGAGTAGAGTTCAAAGATATGTGTGCACAAGAAGGAATACAGGAAGCAATATTCTGAAATATCAGAAATGTAATTTTCTGACTAAAATTGATATTTTATACTTATCCTGACTCATGCTAAATGCTTGTCTCCTTCTTCTTGCGAATGATAGTGGAACACATGAAATCCCTTGAAGTTCCCTTCTAAAAAGAGGACGTAAAATCCTCACTCATCCGTGGGAAGTCTCCCTTGCCTCCTTTGGCGCCCTTTTTGGTCACATGACCAGCTATGTTTGTCGCTCTCTCCGTTTGTACGTCCGACACCCGGATTTACAGGGAAATCCAGAGTGCCCTGAGAGGGGAGGTTGGGAGGGCTGACCTCATGAGTCAGGGTAAGTATAAGATATCAATTTGAGTCAGAAAATTACATATTTTTCCTTATCCCGACTCATGCTCAATGCTTGCAGAATCCGTCGGATTCGGTGGTGGGTCAGGCCACTTCCTGGTTTCACTGGCTGCTGTTTTACGTCCTGTATTACCCCCCATGGGAACTTATGATGGCACTGCTGATGATTCTGTTCTTCCAACTTCCATCTGATGAGTCGGGGGGAACCACAACTTGTCAGATATCTTCCGAAACTTCTGACATTTTCATGTGGATTTTAGATATACTAGTGTTCCATTAGTAATCTATTCCAACTCCATCTCTTGATGCGTGCATCAAGTGGAGATGCGACCCTTCTTCATGTACGAGTAAGTCCTATACAAGTACAGGGTCTATCACTAAGCTAGTCTGTCCTAGACGTGTGCATGGACTTTAACCACTTGCTCTCCAGAGCGTTGGTTTTCACAAGTCACGTGATAAAAAGGTGAGATTTTTCTCAGCGCCTTTGTGGAGCCGTTAGTTGTTGTGCTACAACAAGTGGCCCAAACTGGTGAATGCCTGAGACGTCTTCGGTGGCAATGTCTCTGAGGTAGTGGTTGGCAAACACTGTGTCCGATTTCCAAAAGCAGCCCTCCATTATTGTTGTAATCGAGCAGTTTCCATGCAGAGCAAGTGTAGACGCCAAGGCTCTGACTTCGTGGGGATTGGAGGCTCGTGGAGGCTCAAGTCCTGCTGTTTGTAGGCCTTTAGTATGACGGCTCTCATCCAGACTGATATAGTTGTCAGTGAGACTTCCGTGGGGGTCTCAGTGGATAAGGGGATGAATAGGCGCTTGAATTTTTGTCTCCTTATTTTTGTTCTTTGTAGGTAGACTTTCAATGCTCTGACAGGGCATAAGGATAAATCCTGTGTATCCTGTGGCCCAAGGACTGTAGAAAGTGCTGGGATGTGGAACTATCTGTCAGGCTGGCTGGGCAGTTGGTTCTTGGCAATAAAGTCCCATCTCAGTCCAAAATGTATGATGTCACGATGTCTTGCTTCAAATCGTGTTCGTTCAAAGTTCAGAGCATGTATTTCTGACATCTGTGCTGCGGTTGCTAGGGCGATCAGAAACAGCGTTTTCTGTGTCAGTAGTTCAAAGGATGTCCGTTCTAAGGGCTCGTAGGCATCACTGGTGAGATGTTGTACAACTACGTTGAGATCCCAGGCAAGAGCCTTGAATTTCTTTTGTTGGTCTTCCAACTTGAACGAGCAAAGTAGTGCCAGTATCTCTGGTACTTCGGTCAACTTGACACCCGTCTTCATGGTGATAACTGTGCTGAGAGCAGCCAGGTACGTTGAGAGTGTTGAACCTTTTAAGTGTCTCATCTGTCGCAAATGACACAAGTATTCCGCCACTTGAGGATGGGTTGCTTTCACCACCGTAAAGCCTTTCTTTGTTACATACTGTTCAAATCTCTGCCACTTGTCGTCGTACAAGTTGCGAGTTGATCTGTGTAGAGCTAGTGTTACTGCTTTCGCTGCTCTGGCGGAGTACCCTCTGTCTTTAGGCAAGCATTGATACGCTCCACGCTCAAATGACGAAGTCATGTCTTGAGCTGAGGTGAGTAGACCAAGCATGCTTTGCCAAGCACGTAGTGTCAACGGAGAGAGCATTGCTTGAGATATCATGTTGTATCTTGACCCAACGATCCTCTGGGACAACTGTGAGTGAACACGTGTATAGATGGCCCATTGGAAGCGCGCGAAAACTTCGCCACGTAGTACCGATGTAAACAGACTGTTCCCTGTCTGTTGTGACTGTATTCTTCAACTTTATAATCTTACTGCAGTCTTCATCTTATACAGATGTTCTGTAACGTTGACCATAACCGATGTCTCGCTGAGGAACTGTGACAATGCTGTTAACTGTCCCCTTGATATCTTGTAAGCACATGAGTGAAAATTCATCTTCAGTGTTTCATCGGATGTTATCTGACATTGTTACTTCAGGTGTGCGTCGCTTCCTTCAGCCAAGCGTTGATCCAACATAGCCAACATTTAGTTGTAGTGTACAGCTGCGTTATCTTCTTATCTTCCATCTTGAAGATCTATTACGGGATTCACTGATGATCTTGTAATCTCAAACCCTAATGTTATCATGAAGGGCTCCGTATGATGAAGGGGAAGTCTGCTATCGTTGAACGGCGGGACATGCTGACTCTAATTATAATCCTTCGTTGAGCGTTGATCCAACATAGGAGTTGTAGTGTACATGCTGTTATCTCTATCTTCCATCTTGAAGATCTTTTCTCGGGATTCACTGATGATCTTGTAATCTCAAACCCTAATGTTATCATGAAGGGCTCCGTATGATGAAGGGGAACTCTGCTATCGTTGAACGGCGGGACATGCTGACTCTAATTATAATCCTCCGCATGAGTGCCTGCGCACAGGTTGATGAAGGTCCAAGTTGGAAGATCCGTATCTGCGCAGTCTGTAAAATCCTGGAGAACGACTTCTGTGTTAGAATCCTTCCTGCTGAGACGCTGAAACTGCGTAGAGGCTCCATCGTGGACTGCTAACGCTAAGCTGGCGTTCGTTGAATCCTCTAGGCTTTTAACTGCTGATACCTCTGGAGGGTGATGGTAGACCAATCCCGGTTCTTAAGAGTATAAGAGTGATCCAGGTCATCTGCTGAAGTACTCAAGGGAAGTTGGAGCTTCTCAACAATCCAAAGGAGTACCTGAGGTGTCTCAACTGCTGCAAAGCTACCCCCAGGGGTAGATAACTCAGAGTGAGCGGGAGATGCAGGCATGGCTATTTGGACTGGATCAATCTCAGGAGGTGGACCAGATGAAGAGCCAGGAGCTACCAAAGCCGGATGGGCTGGAATAGAAGGCTGTATTTGGTTCCAGGCTGAGGTTATGGCCCTGATCATCATATTTAGATCCGGAGTCGCTGTAGGAGTGGGATTGTTATCAGGTTCCCATGACTCAGCGATGATCCTGGAGTGAGTCGAAGGATTCTCAGAGCGTGTAGACGGAACATTGTAAGAGACTGTAGGCCTATTAGTGGTATCAGAGCAATGATCATCCGAATGTCGGTCAGAGGAACTGTATCGAGATCTCGACGTGGTAAGTACCGAAGTAGGTTGGTAAGCCGGTGATCTGGATTCCCTAGTATGGCTAGGTGATCCGGTATGATATGAAGAACTAGTCCGGGTTGCAGTAGTTCTAGTTGGTGATCTGGTTCTGATTGGAGCTCTGGTTCGACCATCTGAATAGGATCGGCCATGAGATGTGGATCTGTACTGTGATCCCGATTGGTCAATAGCTCTGTAAGATGATCTAGATCGTATAGGTGACCTGGGTTGGTAAGATGATCTGGATTTGTAAAGTGATCTGGATCGATTCGATGCATTAATTGGAAACTGTGATCGTGATCTGGATTTATAAGGTGATCTGGTTTGCAGTTGCGATCTGGCTTGATTTGGTGATCTGGATCGGTTCGGTGATCTGGCGGTTAGGTGATATGGATTGATCAGGTGATGTGGATCGTAGTTAACTGTGATCTGGATCGAACCGGTGATCTGGATCGGCATGGTGATCTAGATCGGGCTTGTGATGGTGATCTGGATCGTGAAGGTGATCTAGAATGATGTGGCAATCTGGATCGGCGATTAGGTGATAAAACCTGAAGTGTTGATTCATGATGAACGTCCCCCAGCGAGGCTGTTGTAGCCAGCTCCGTCCGGTTCAATGAACCGTGGGGAGACAGTTGGCTGGTTGAACGCGTTTGGCCAGGCTCCAAACAAACTGAGACAGTCGAGGGGGATATGTACCGATGATCTGGATGATGATAGCGTCAATCTAAGGTCCCCTGGTAGTGTAGATGGGAGAATTGTTGATCACAACCACCCGCGAGTGATCTGACGCTATGGAAGGAGGTGATTGATGTGTACGTAATAGGTGCCGAACGACCTCAGATAAGTAAGAATCTGATGAAGCGTCCATAAAATCCTCTTGAACCACAGACATCGCTCTCTTGCGTGAGGGTACGATTTTCTGTCGCTGTAACTTAATACGCTTGGCGGGAGTGGGATCAGATTCTGTTAATTTCCTGCCCCTATCGGCGATTCTCCGGAAGCAAACACGAAGGTAGGCCTTAAAATCCTCATCTTTTAGTGAATTACACTTGCCACATCGTTTGTTCCAGTTACATTGTCCAATACAGTCACTGCAAGATGAGTGAGGGTCAAGGGACGAATAATTTGTCTTGCATTGAGTACAAACTTTCCTTTTCCTTGACTGATTATCAGTTTTTCCCATGATGTTAGGGTGAAATAATGTCCCTAATATACAGCACGTCCAAACAGTCGTGCGACAAGAAAGAGAATGATCATTCAAGGTAGTCACGTGGGCAATCAGTAGAGCATGCTGCAAGCTTTATTAGGAACTAGGAAGCTAATTAAGGAGAGCAGCACGGTGTGCACGGGCGAATGGACAAGAAGGCCATTGGAAAAAAGTTTACAGTCGTTTCACTAAAAGTCGAAGCAAGAAAGAGAGGTGCAAGTCATGAGATAGGTTAAGTTTAAAAATTAATTCTTTTACTTATGGAGGTGTGCAACTGTCAAAAAGATAATTCAGTTGGTTACCTGTGATAATTTTCCTTTGAATCCACATCATCATCTTCAAAGAGACGATGTCCTAAAGAGTTACTGTCTCCATTAGAGCCTCTGTTTTCCTTGACACTAAAACAGAGTTTTACTTAAATACTAGGGGCATGGATGAAAAACACAGAAACAATATAAATTTAGTCAAGGTTTCAATAATTTCATTTCATGCAAGAAATACATTACATAACTCTAACAAATATTCCATTTAGTTCTCACAGACAGTATCTATTCAGGGCTAGCCTAATCGGTAAATCCACACATAAACAATATGCTAAGTGACAGATTGGCTGTTTAGTTTCAAGCCCATGAAGATTCGGGTTAGTATTGTCTTCAGCAATTCATGCTTGTCATAAAAAGCACTTAACAGGATCAGGTGGTCAGGTCCACCAGCATGGTTGATGCATTTTTTCATGTCCCAATTGTGCATCTAGATGTTCATGATATCAGTCACCAGACTGTCTGGTCTGACTCAATCATTTACAGACCACCTCTATTTCTGGAAAATTGCTGAGTGCGGTACTAAACAACAGACAGATAAACAAAACAAGCTTAGTTTCAGTCTGGAATAGGTTGTACGAACCTGGTGAATACCGGAGACACATCAGGGGAGTTTGTCTTTGGTGAGACATTACTGGCTGTCAACACATGGTTCTTGTGTCCACCAACTTCGGCCTTGTTTTCACTCACATGAACTGTGTGGGAAAGCAAATAAACATGTCAAGTTGTCTTAACTATATTATGGCCAAACAAAAATTGGTGAAACGCTTATTACTTTACAAGCTGCACTTTGCACCATTTTTTTTCCTTTACAAATAAAATATACACCAAAAAATTCAACCTAAGAAATTACATGATACATTTGTTACTTTACTTCCTTGATATAAACACAAAGTATTCATGAATAATTTCTATTAATTACCCAATATTCATGAAACATACTGTATTCAAAACACATTCATCTCAGTCTTTGTATTTAACATGTTTCTAAAACCATGTGCCTCGCTTACAACATGACCAACTGCACTAAGTTGGACATTGTGTTCAGCTGCTAAACAACGTTGACAATCTGATGGTGTTTCTTTCTGCCTGAAGTACAGTAACTTTACAAATAAGACCACTAACATAAAATAAATGATTCTTACATATCAGTTAGCATGCTGAAAACGCTTTCTTTCTACAAACCTGTCTTCCCTTGTTTGATATTGCAAAGCAATTCCTGGACCTTCTTGAGGTGCGCTAGGTCTCCTTGATCTGCTATCACATAGATGTTGTAGCCGGTGGCCAAGTCAAGGATCACTCTGTCAGGTCGGTTGATTAGACTCTTTATCTTATCATTTATCTGTTTTGGAAATAATACTTGCTGGAGTAATTGCCATGTTAACATGATCAAATGTATGATGGAAGATATGAGGTTTTAATTGTTCTGGCCCCCAATAGTCAGTGTAATACTATTTAGAGTGAGTGAGTATGGTTTTATGCCGCTTTTAGCAATATTCCAGCAATATCACGGCTGGGGACACCAGAAATGGGCTTCAATCATTGTACCCATGTGGGGAATCGAACCCAGGTCTTTGGCGTCACGAGCCAACGCTTTAACCACTATGTTACCCCACCGCCCCCAATACTATTTAGATAAATACAGGAGACATCTTCACAACTATAACGGAAACCTGAGTCTGCTATGGAGATGAATGGGGAAAGGGATGTCTGCAAATTGAATTACACTGAATATTCAAAAATTATTGTTTCAGCAAATATCCGATCAGGAAAGTGTTACTGTTTGCCATGTGGCCCTGGCACAATAATCCTGCAGCTATGATTCCTGACACATAGATAGAAGTAATTCCATAACATTCATGCCATTTTAAAGTAAAAGAAGAACTTCCGTTTCTTCTCTACCTTTGGGGATAATTTAACCAACGGGTTGGACAAATAGTATTTTTTCTAACAGAAAGATTGATGGATGTATACAGATTAACATCACAAACTTCCTGAATCATAACGTTAAAACACACACAACACTGTAGTCAGTCAGTAGTTATGACATATTTTTACATCAGAAGTAACAGACACCATCTTGACAGTAAAAGGCAGACATACTTGCAAATTGACAACTGGACTTTCTCTCTTGGTGTTGATCCAAAGTTGACACTTCCAATGGACACCTTCAGGTGCCACAACCATTTTGCCTGTTTTGTAGTCCCCAATGTATGACCCCACTCCCTTGTATTTGACCCTACCCCGGACCTCCGCATACAGACCAGGGTCTTTCATCTTATCTGAAGAAAACAAAGTTCAGCATCATTAAAATGTTCACCTAGAAATGAACAAAATGGTGACAACTATTTGCATGCATTAATGCTCATCAACAGATTAAACAACATCCTACTGAGTCCATATTTAGACATGTTAAGTACAAGTCAAAATCTTGTGTGATGACGTCTCGTAAAATTGGGTCTGAAACTGGAAAGCATGGTAAGAAAAGTTAATAATCATGATAATAGAGTCTAAAAGACTCTAGAATCCATATAATAACATATTAATGTGTTATAAATGATGGTTACAGGCAAGTTCAAGCTACTAGCTAAAAGGATATATATTGGGAAAAATAAGTTAGGGATATTGGTATTTTTATCCTTGATATTCTATCAGTGTGTCAATGAATAAATAGATTATTCATAATTTCAAAATTTACATATATCCCTTACTATTTTTGTCCAGTATATGAGCAACTTGTAGCACTATTACGAGGGCATCAGTATTTAAAGGTTTTATAATAGAATGGATAAAAATACAAGGAAGAGGCAACTTAACATTTATGTACACTCAGTTAAGAGAATTATTAAATAATCTCAAATGGGAACAAAATAACATTTTTTTTGACTGTCAAGGGCACTTTGTGTCCTAAATAACTTCTAGGATGCTAAGTGATAACCACTTCGGGATATATAAATCACTGTCGATTCAAACTATCAACATAATCAACCTTAATCGTGATGTTTCTAAAATATTTTGCTAAGTGCAAAAGGTAAGAGTTGAGCTTATAACATGTGACATTTTGGTGCTCTGCTACACAAAACTGCCACTTGATCTTTGTTGCTACAACTGACAAAACATCCCGAATGAAGGAAGCCATTCTGCCAAAAGTTTCAGTGACAACGCCCACTTTACGACCTTCCTTGTGCATCCTACAAAGTCATACACTCAATACTATGACATCAATTGATTTTTTTCCACATTCAGACATCAGCATAAAATAGGAACTTTAGCTTAGAACTCTTAAAATGTGTCATGCAAGTATGAGTCCATCGCGTCACGTGTATTATCACAACATACAATATCATTCATGAAGCAATGATAACTGTTTAAAACAAAAGTGTTTTGTAATGCCTGCATAGTATGCACCTCAAGCATGACTATCAATGATGCTGGACGCTAGTAAGTTGTGAACTTTCACTCTGACTGTAAGTATGCTTAACCTGGAAGAGGAGCCGGTCGTGAAACATTTTACTGTCGCCAGCCATACAGTGTCGGAGTGTCCCTTCGACGTTAGCCTGCGCGGAATGACAAAAACAAGTCTCATTAATAAAGATACAAACCAAACTATACCGTTACCTCGATAGATGGTAAATCAGTCGAAATTAGATTTTCATTATTTATCAACACTGAGTTCACGAAGAAGTACACTTCTTCCACAATTTTCGCGGGTAACTTTACCGGAAGTGGTCTGCTGCAACTCCGTGATATATTCTACAGAACTGTTTCTTATATAAGTTGCCTTTTGAGGTCATTAGATGTAGATTTCATTGAGATTAAATTTCACCTCAGACAAACCGTGTAATATATACCCAAAATCATTATTAAGAATATATAATCTTCTATTCACATCAGCAGTATTTTTCTCCTTAAATTACAACATATTCACTAAAACCATCCCGCTCAGCTGTTGTTGTTTTAAAAGGCATTACCTTTTTGAATACCACGTGCTTCCTTGACGTGTGCATGTTAAAATGATATTCTTTCTAAATGTGCATGTTATGGCTACAAAACATACATGAAAAGGACAAGAAAATATAGATACACGTGCTAATTCAAATCCCATTCTCTTGTTTGCTGGGTTTTGTTCTGTAGTTTGTTTAACACAAGTGATAAAAAGTCACTGTATCATTTTTAAACTTACAAATAAAATCTATCGTATATTATATCCTTATACAAATAATTGTAGGGAAAAGGATAAGAAAGTATGGTGAACAACTATTTTTATTACAACAGGAGAGATGGTTCGGTGTAGGATCTTACTCCGTTATACATTCTTATCTTTTCTTAGTCTTCCAACTTCTAATTTGCCTCTCAAAGCATACGAGGGTTATAACTGATATATCAATCCAGAGATCATATTATCTGTTATATGTGGTCTCTGATCAATCGAATCAAAGAATTTTATTCAGATTTAGACCCTCGAGGGAGTATTCTGTAAACAGGGCTTTATCTTAGCCCTGATCTTATCAAATGGTATTTCCAATTTTAAATCAAGTATTTCCACATTCCTCAGAAATAAACGAAAGTGTTTATAAAAGACACTGCGAAGACTGGATCCCTGTTAACGAGCACCTGCCCACTGGACTTGGTACCGTCTTTGATAGACATCATGTCCAGGTGTATGTAGCACGCGCAGGATATATGTTTTACCAGTTTTGACGAGATTATATGCTCACGTAGTTCACAAATTATGATCTGTATCTAGGTACGCGAAAGCAAAACTGAAGGAAAAAATGCTTCCAAGTCGGTTTGCTTGCACTGAAATATTTAATGTATTTTTGTATCAATTATTTCTACTCGTACCAAATCAAGCAAGGTAGTTCGAGATTAGCTATGTTTACAAGATGGTCGACTGTTATGGTTGGTAGGGACGCGAAAATAGATTCCTCACTGTACAGTTAGATCCTCAAACAACATAAAGACGGTCGCCTCTCACTACTACGGTTCGTATGTTCACTTTTCTTGGAGGTGGTTTGTGTTTCCTCGTAATATAGGATATGACTGACCAGGTGTATCACAATCTTTTCATGAAACCAGAGACCATATAATATGGTCTCTGATGAAACGTATCGTATCGGTATCTGTATCAAAAGCAGTATGAAGAATGTGATGAATATTCAGTCAATACTGGTTATTCAGGTAACTGGAGTTGACTTGGATTTATATAAGTTCCTAAAATCTGAAATAAGTTTGATTGTATAACAGTTCAACCCATACTGATAATGATATAAACAGATACATCTGACTAAAGATGGATTCTGTGGGGACTGGAATGATTTATCGTTCTAGGTGACATATGAGTTTAAGTTTAGATTTGATCGTTCAATAACCAAAGGCTATAATGCATGTATGGTATTTTGAATATGACTGGCAATAAGGTGTAATGACACCCTGAAGAGATCTGTATGCAGCCGCAATGTCATCCATCTTCCATCATGTAGATGTATTTGTAATTGCAGATGAGTGTCTCCCATGATGATGATCACTTTGACTTCAACAAGTTGGAGCGTGAACTAAAGGCTGCAGTGACAGCTGATGAAAAGTACAACAGGGAAAATGATGCGAAACTCCGAGCTGTGCATCAGAAAGTTGCAAGCTACGATGAATTCAAGTAACTCTCAGATATTTCACTCTATTGGAATATATGGGGCGGTGGGGTAGCCTAGTGGTTAAAGCATTCACTTATCACGCCAAAGACCCGGGTTCAATTCCCCACATGGATACAATGTTTGAAGCCCATTTCCAGTGTCCCACGCCTTGATATTGCTGAAATATTGTTAAAAGCGGCGAGAAACCAAACTCACTATTGGAATAAACAGCATGATTTTGGAGTTTCACTGATTAAATGTTGTTTAGATATGCATCTTTCAGAAGCAGGGAGTCATGTATAAATAAATTAAAAGAATAAATGTCTTCAAATTGCTTTCCCAAATTGAGCTATGTACTTTAACATTTCAAGAATTATCATTGGTTTGACAAGATCAGTTGATAATCAATTTATGAGTGATCCAGTTTCATTATAATCAGAATTGACTTTGAAATGCTACCTTTCTGCATGAAGGTGAACTTTGTAGGCAGCATCAAGGTTTTGGAATTTTCTGCAAGAATAAGCAAAACATTCGGACCAGCAGATCAGGGTAAAGGGAAGTGGATGAACAAAACCTCATCAAAGTTTCGGTGTAGGTTCTAACACTATTTTGAAGCAGGTGATCATCTTTTGCCTGTGTGCAGATGTAACATGTGATTTTCTTTTTGGAGGCATTACCTACAGTAGTAGTTGTGTTGTTTGTTGTTCACAGGGAAATAGTCAAGGCATCACATCTGAAACCCCTGGAGAAGGGTGACAAGATCGAGGGAAAGTTTGCACAGCCATGGAACATGCATGCAGACAAGAAAAAACATGTCACTGATTCAAAGGATTCAGAAACAAACGAGGTGAATATCTACATAGCTTTGCAGTCTAAGTAAACTTAGGCTCAGTATTATTTGTTACACTGCTATACTGAGTCTAACAAAACCTAGAAGAAGGTCGCGTCAGCTAACCTTTGAGTGACCTATGACCGTTCAATCAAACGGGAGACGGCCGAACAGATTTAACCAATCAGACAACGACTACTTGTTAGGGTTCGACGGGACTTACAAATCGGTTTTGGGATTTTCTCTTCTCTGGTCGCTGACACAGATCTATCAACAAACGAAAATACGCATAAAACTCAGATATTTGACCTGCTGTATATATGCTTATTGGTTTCTAATGACATGGTTACTGTTTGCTTATATTTTGAAAGATGACATCCTTGAATATTGACAAAAACGCTATTTTCAGCGACTGCTTACTCATTGCATGTATCAGTCGGAAGCGATCGTGCGGAAAATAGCATTCGGCATCGTTCGAGTTTTTGAGGTAAAGGTTCAAACGGTATGTGCGAATGTTAACTTTCGCGATTTGGTAAGCTGTGTTCTGAATGGTCAGTCCAAAAGGTTAGCTGACGCGACCTTCTACTAGGTTTTGTTAAACTCAGTATAGCAGTGTAACGAATAATACTGAGCCTAAGTTTACGTAGACTGCATAGCTTTGTAATGCAAAATTCTTCATAACTGTCAACCCCAATAAGGCTATTAAGTGGAGCAACTACATCAGAATAGGTCCACAGTAAAACCAAGTGGTGTTAAATGTACCCATGGGTTACAAATGGTACACTGATCAGTGAAATTGCATTTACATGTGGAGAGTTGTGTCCCTTGGAGGGTAGAAGCCTGTGGTGTCAGCCCAACTTTTGGGACACCCCTTTTGTCAAATATCTTCCAAATAACACCAACTGACCACATGCCATTTACGTATATCTTAATGATTCCCTTTGAGGTAATAAGAAAAAATAGTTTTAACTTTGTAGGTTGACAGACTATATGTTTGTTGCTCCCAGTCCCAGATTCACCCTGATTTTTCTGGGTTTGTCAATGCTTGTGGGTTTCAGGAAAGTAATAAACTTTCCCATTGGGCTCTCCTTCCACATTTGCAGATGCTCTGTGTTCTAACAACTGAAATACCGTAGATTGTAAAACTGTTTGACCTGACACTCCTTTCAGCTCTCGCCATGGGTTGCCTAATCCAGGTTGAGTAATGTTCAGGCAACCATTACCCTCTCCAAAGAATTATATCTTTTTCAACATAGAGATATCTTTTGTTTTGACCAGGAAAAGACCAGAGTGCCTCAAAACAGCTTGGAATTTGTGAGAGAATGGAGGAAACTGTCACTGGATAAGAAGTACCATTTCCTAATTGAAATTGGACCAGAAAAGTTAGAAAACATTTTTAAACCTGAAATAGGCTTTGGGTTGCTTGGTGACTTTCTGCTAGTTTTGCTGGAAGTTTCACAGGAGGAGCTGCACATTGTGTTGAACATTCTGGAAGGTTTCAGCCGGACCAATCGGTTCAGTCTCTCAGTCCAGTTCATGAGTTCAAAGGAAAAAGAAGCTTGTGAAAAACTGTTTAAAAGAATTGAAGACCTGAATGAATGGTCTGACAGGATAACATCTTTGAGAAGTTTGTATGGTTTGATTAAATAAATATGTACAACAAAGTGGTGCTCTGTTTGCTTCCCTTCAGGCAAAGTGAATGCAAAATAATGATGCATCATTTGTCATTTTCCAGTTCAAGTTTTTCCCATTGTTAATATGAACTCTTTATCTGTTGTACTTGAGTCTACAAGGCAAATACGTTGTTTTTTAATATAAAAGTAGGGTCCACATGAAATATAAACACAAAATACTTGACAAATAACAAATACATGTGTAATTTAATTTGCTATTTGAGGTTGTAAGCCCAAACTTAGTCAAATAATTGTTTTGGATGAAGAATGCCACCAATTGATTCAGTTATATTTTTTATACCTTAAAAGACCTAGAATGTGTCCAAGCAGTTGTTCTAGTGACATGGATTGACTGAGGGTATTTATTAAGGTAAGCAAGGAGAGCCTGCAAACAGTAATAGCCTCAATATAATGTTATGGTCTCAGTCACATATTGTCAGTGTGACAAGTGTTTCATCATGAAGCTGCTAATATGATGAAATTTTTTTTATCAGGCTATAATCTTTCATTATTTAAAAGTGCATTAAAACTTAGCAAGTCGGAGAGAGTGATATCTTTGCAAAATGACCCCATGAAATTTCACTAGCCAGTCGGGCAAGATTTACTGGCCCGACTGGAGTTTTACTTGCCACGCGCAAGCGGGCCAGTGGCAATTTCGCATACTGGCAACTGCAGTCAATACAAAGCTGCTTCGTGCATGTCCTGACCAGGGGGCTCCCGTGCCTATTTTGGTTCCTCAATGATGCCTCAAAATGACCCATGCATGCTCCAGTGGAATCAGATCTTGATTCATGCTGCCCAAATCTTGACAGGTCTGTTCTTGATGTGGGTTGCCACTTTCCCAAATTGTTAAAACTAGTTTTATCAACCAAGAACTGAAGTCTTATGGTAACAAAGTGGTCGTTTGTGCGGCAACAGTTGTTTCCCGCGAAACTATGAACAGAATGCCTGTGAGGTTACAGCCCCAAATTAACCCCTACCCTATTCCACAGAGGCTTGTAACGCTAAAAACTGCCATCAAGGTATATACTGTCACACCCAGGATTCGATTCCTCGTAAGCGTACATGATATGTGAATCCCAGTTCAGGGGCGGATACACCTTATTGAAAAATCGGGGTACACACTTCATTTTCACGAGAGTTTGAATGGTCACTTTCAGCACACACAAAAAAAAGGGGGGGGGGGGGGGCGCACCCCTGCACACACACGCACGCACTGTGGATCCGCATATGCAGTTCAGTCGTCACCCGACGTGAAATTGCTTGAGCATTGCTTAAATCGACAAAAACGATCACACTCACACCCATGTCCCTTAAATCTCCGTCGTCCACCCCTTATATGACACAGAAACCTGTTTTTATCTGAAATGGACTTTCGGCTAGGGCTCACAGATTCCAAGCCCATCGTGCTGAACACCATGCCAACTTCTGAGGCTGCTAGCTGCTAGTAAAACTAAACTCACTCACTCACTCTTCCGTAACCCATGTTTGTAAGAGGAGACTAACGGGATCGGGTGGTCAGGCTCGCTGACTTGATTGACACATGTCATCGCATCCAAACTGCGTAGATCGATGCTTATACTGCTGATCACTGGATTGTCTGGTCCAGACTCGATTATTTACAGACCGCCGTCACATAGCTGGAATATTGCTGAGTGCGGCGTTAAACAACAAACCCAGCAACTGAATCCACATGTGATATACTTTGTAACGTTAACTCTATACCGCCTCCGTGGTGTAGTGGTTAGAGCGTCCGCCCGGAGAGCGGAAAGTCGCGGGTTCGATCCCTGGTCGGGAGTCAGTATAATGTGTCTGAGTGGGGTATTCATGCTTAACTGCGGCATGGTATCCCTGTATGGCGCACCCCTGCACTCCCCTTAAGTCTAGGCTAGTACAAGCAGCCACATATACACACGCATGCACGTCGTCATATGAGCGAAATATTCTTAAGTATAGCGTTTTAAAACGCCATTTCACCTCACTTGAACTCAGCTGTAAGAGGTGCAATGCAAGCCAGTCATTTACAGCTATGAAACTATCAATTTTGTACACATCTGTTAACACTCTAATGAAGGCATCCAGTGAAAAGAAAGCATAATTTGTTAATACTGGTTGCGTTTTCATATCTATTGGCCATAAGAATGAATGGTATGATCTGAAATTGTTTGGATTATGGCAAAGTAATATTTCCATTAATATTCCAACAATCACCATTTATGATTTTCCATTTTTAATTAATATACACGATGTAAATCCTCGGATACAGAAGCACTAAACAGCTAATGTCAACATATTTCATTTTTAACAGTTCTCTATAAGCAGACCCAAGTATAACTCCGTTAATCAATCTGCGCTAAAAATGTAAGTTATTATCGTTTGTAAATGGGTAGTTTGTATTTGACAAGACATAGATTACTTGAATTAAGGTAATTTGTACTCATTATTCTCTCAGGGGTTTGCTGTAGTGAAATGTTTAAAGAAAGTCTAGTGCCTTTTATGTAAAAACGCAGATTCATGATATTGGATTGGCATACCTGTTCTAAAAGTAGATGGGCATTTAGCCATAAACGTCTGTAAGTATTTCCTCAAACCTCTAAACGTATCGTCGCCTAAAACCAGAGTCTTCTAGGTTCGAAAAACCTATTTTCGAGAAATTCGATCTTAAAGTTTAGAACAACAATATTTTCAAAACTAATGATCACATTCTTTGAAATTGTGGACATACGCGTGTTATGTCAAAAAAGCCCCACACTTGGAAAATAAACAAAAGTATGTTAAAGTTCTTGAAATAAACAAGAAATTAACGGAAAACACTCGGCCAAATACATTTGTAATTTTGTTCAGACTGACTGAGTTTGGTTTTAGGCCGCTTTTAGCAATATTCCAGCAACGTCACGGCGGGGAACATTAGAAATGGGCTTCACACATTGTACCTATGTGGGGATTCGAACCCGGGTCTGCGGCGTGACGATACAGATCTTTAACTGACTGACTGACTGAGTTTGGTTTTACGCCAGTTTTGGAAATATTCCAGCAACATCACAGCGGGGGACACCAGAAGTGGGCTTCACACAATGGACCTATGTGGGGATTCGAACCCGGGTCTTCGGCGTGACGAGCTAACGCTTTAACCACTAGGCTACCCCAACGCCCTCCAACGCTTTAACCATAGGCTACCCCACAGCCCCCAATTTTGTTCAGAACCAAAGTGTTCTATGTATCAGACATTATTGTACGATTATTGCATGGTTATTTATCCCATACCAGGTTGTGCTTTTGTTGTTTTAACTTATTTTAGTTTCACAGCTTACGAATTATATTAAATCATAAGTAAGAACCAAAAATGTTCCAATGTACCATTTGTATGTCTATAATGCTGATAATAACTTCAAGATTGTTCCATATCCATGTCACGTGACCACACAGGATTTGCTGATTGGTCCAATGACCACTTAGAATACTGTGGCACTAACAATGCGTGTTATTTCATGGAGATAAAACAATGTTATATGTAAAACCACTTTCTAGGCTATGTATCACGGTGAAATTTTACATGGAGATAGAATATGCAGTAAAACATACCCTGAGCTTCCTAACTCTATTTTCACCAAAAGTGAACATAGAACACTCTGGTATTCAGGCGACGGTATATAGTTTTCAAAGTTTTCTTTTGGACATCCTAACCAGGACAGCTTTTATTAATCAATACTGGTTTTGATATCTACTTTCGAATGAAATTAGATGTTTGGGGTTTCTTTAGAATTAAAGCCATTTTGCTGCATCGCAAAAGTTGATTTAGAAGACTGCTTTGAAGTGTTGTTTAGATAAGTGTGAGTCTTGGACGGTGTTGCATGTTTATAATCCACGTTAAGGAACCCAAAACACTATTCATCATAATCCGCTCATAGGGGATTCGAACCCATGACGATATGACTCTGGTGTGGGGGAAATCCTTGTGGCTTCAGCCGACTAAATGGATCCTTCATGGATCACAAGATCAAACACTCCGCAAACTATCTCTTGTGCATAATGATATTCCTGCTTTCATTCAAGGCCATATATGGTCTTTCTCTGTGTTACAAAACTGACGCGTTACTTCTAATTAGAAAATGTGTATGGATTTGTAAAAAAGAAATAGATAAACAAAAAGAAATCTTACGATAAAATGTATTGTGAAACAATGTATCTAGATAAAATATGTTTTGATCACCTTATCATACCTTCAAAGGTTTATCTCTTAAAATGGAAATCTTGTTTCTGTAAAACAATATGAATATTTGTTAATATTCTTTTATCTAATTTGTTATTCAGAAAATATGTGAAACTAAATGTCTGAAATCAGTTGTAAGTTTGTGCCTCGAAGAAATCGAATTTGCTGTAGACGTCAAACGTGAGACAGACATATGATCATGTTCATATGCGTCGTTCAAGAAGCATAAACCTGAAATCTCGCGTAGTAGTCCAATGTCCCTTAATAAGGCCTATTTGGCTCCCATCGAAATCCTTATTCTGGAGAATGATCGAGTGAATATACATGGTCCATATCATCATAATTATTATCAATTTTGAGAGACCGAAATATTTTATGGCCACACATTAATTTGTTCGGCCAATTTCATCTAGTGGACGATATAAACAACATGTACCTTCAATCAGTTGTCAAGAAAACATTCCAGAAGTTGGCCTGACCAATCAAAGGAGGTCTTATTAAGCTTCACGCACCCACCCACACAGAACCAATCATAGTTTAGTGCTTCCTAAAATCGACCAATCACATAAAGCAACTTAATGTCAGTGGGCAATTGACATCAAATTCACTTCCGCTGCTGCAGCCGGTGACTAGAATGTAGAACTTACGCTTCGAACAAATATGAAAATTGGATCTTGAGCATGATCAAGACAAATGTATTCCTAATCAAGAAGACATTGACATGGGTGGTGTAAATGTTGGATCTTTCTAACGGATAAGGACTTTGCATTGTAACGATGAGGCCAAATTTCACTGTTGTGACAAAGGCAGCAAACAGTGCCAAGATTCATGCAGTTTTCTATGATGACGCGCACTGCCATTCAGAAGCTTGCGATACCATTAATTAACTGTGTTGTTATGTTACCATGTAAATTTTAATGAAAATAACACATTGTCGCATGTGCACTATGGCAGCCGTGGAAGAGTCGTTTTTGTTCTATGGATATAAGTCCTAGATTGTCAAATACTTTCATAGGTCGGACCGTCATTTTACCTTTTGTGGTATAATCGGGAAACGAGAATCGTGGATAAGGTCTGGTCAAAATGGGAAACAAACAATCCTGTTGTATTTACCACAGCCCCAAAGGTGGGCGAAAGTCAAAGAGAGAAGAGATATACCAGCCATCTCAAGAGGAAACTCATATGCTGCCTCAACCACAGAGCACTGCATCATTACCTGGTGTGCCACACATAAGTGAGAGGGAACCAGAAGGTGAAGAATGTTATTTGTGTTCATTTCTCAGTAAAGAATATTATTAAACTTACAATAAGTAGCTTGCACAAAAATTCGCAAGGGTGATGCTATTGACGGGGCGAGATAACATATGCTTGTAAGAAACAACTCTTGCGGAGTGTAAGTTTTTGACAATGCGGAGCCTGAGTTAGCATTATCATACCCTGATGTTTTGACTGTTGCTTTTTGCTATCTGGCCACTGGTTTTTATGGAGCTTTCTCAATTATGTACGTGCTACAACAAGAATATTGCTGACTGCTAGGGCTGCAATGAATACACTATGAGGCGGGAATGATATGTATCACAAATAAAGGGTAATTCAATTCATGAATTCAATGACGAGTTGGTATCTGATGTATTATTTATGTTATTCAGTGAAACTAAAACTTATTTGACCTAATTTGACCATGTTTACAGCGTTAATGTATTAAGACAGTGTCAGACCTTATTTCTTATAGCCTAATGATTTGGTTGACAGGAACAAAATGTGCCAAAGTGACACAAGTTAGTCTCATGCATGGCTTGTATTTTTTCCATTTTCCATATCTCGCTTTGATAAATTATAGATGATTTCAAGTAAAATACATTGTGAATAGTTGAATCTGATGATGCTGAATTAAAAATTTAATTCACAAAGGGATAAGATTCAATTTGGTTTTCTAAATCATGAAATGTCATTCGACTCTCAATTGTCTGCCTTTGACTCCTCAAGATAATTTTGAGTCATGATGATTTCCAAAATTAGATGTCTACGGTGAACCCTTCAGAAATCGGTAGTCGTGAACAAAATATTGATCAAGTATTGATAAATATCAGAGAAATATATTTGAAAAAATGCAAAAAGAAGTTATAAAGAATCAAGATATTTTACATCACTGGTAAGTGGTGAAATATTTATGGATGGGTTACCAACAAAATCATGTCCTAAACATACATTACAAGCATGCTTAAAATAGAGACATAACTTTGTGTATTGTGTCTGCGATTTAAAACTTTATTTCATCTGAATAGTTTAAGTACAATAGATTGTTGGAGATTGTTGGAGACACTTACTTTATAGTGCACAGTGGTAAACCATTTCACTTGGTTCAGTATAAAATCTTCAAGTGGAATGAAAATTTAAGATAGCAATTTGATACATACAGCAATAAAGTGTGGTTGTATCGAATTACTGCAAGTACATGCATTTAATATACGGAAAAGTAGTCAAGACTGTTGATGTAATTAGTGCTTTCATCAGCCCACTTACAACATTACGAAACTTACATTATGTAACTAACATTTTAGAATGTTACTACAACAACCAATTTTTGCATTTAAAGACGTTCAAATACCCTATTGGACTAAGTCTAGAATCGTTCAAGTTAGAAGGAAAAGAAACCTCAACTTTTATGCTAGTAATTGGTCATTAAATATACAGACTGTAATCAAGAAACTGATTTGTCTGGTATGGGTCACATGAAGTACTGATATTGTGGAGTCAAATGACTGCATTCTTCATACCAATAACAACTTGGTTACTTGGTTGTTCTTTATTCTTTTCAACTTTAGTCCTGATACACACCTTCCCCTTCTTCATCGTATCCCAGTTGCGTAGAACAATGCTAATGCTGTTGACCACTGGATTGTCTGTTCCACACTTGATTATTTACAGACCACCACCATATAGCTGGAATATTGCAGTGTGCGGCGTTAAAAAACAAACCAACAATCCAACTTTCCCCTCCTCATATGTATCATTGGTGCATATTAACATCCAATTTATAATGTTTCAATGGAATTACAAAACCACTCTTGAAAAGTTACTTGAATGAATCATAATTCTGGTAGAGTGGATATGTTACAAATGATGAATATATGATGCCCATGGTATGTTGTATGGTTAACATTTTAGTTTTAAGAAAATATGGCTTACATGAGCCTAATGCGTCTGATTCCAACACCCATCAACAGCACTGTCGGTAGACTAAAGCTTGGACTAGCTGCTAAAGAGCCACAAACATGATTGTGTGATATATTACAGTGATTTAGAGCTTGATACCAGCACATGCAGCCCTGGTTTCAAGTGCTGTCATTTATTCAATTCAAAACCTCAATTGAACTAGAAGCATGTATTTAGTTGTCCAATTCCAAAATTAGGGCTGCACTTGCCCAATTGAAATGCTGCTCGCAACAGTTCAGAATTGAGACTAGCTGATATAATAGAGCCTAAAGCAGATTGTGTTGAATATGTTAATGTCATATTGAGGATGAATATCACTTTAGGGTGGTTGGGTAGCGTAGTGGTTAAGGCGTTCACTCGCCACGCTGAAGACCTGGGTTCAGTTCCCCACATGGGTACAACATGTCTGGTGTCCCCCGCCGTGATATTGCTGAAAGATTGCTAAAAGCAGCGTAAAACCAAAATCATTCAACTGAATATTACTTTATTTTGGTATGCATTGTATATAACAAGCTGAGGTATGAGTACATACCTGAGAAATTCAATGTAAATCCACCCTAAAGTATGTTTAACATATCAATGTCTTCTGTGAATGTACCGACGTTTGGAAAGCCTATTCCTTCAAAGCTCTGTGCCTTAGATATATGAACAACTTGTCCTGTTTATTGTATCTCTTACTTTGAATACACTTGTTTTAATCATGTTTTAATTTCTTTTCCAGAAATTGATGCTGATCCATCCAACAATCCTATTGCTAGACCACTGTTCTCAACACGCTCTGAAAATGAAGTCCAGAAAAGTAAGCATGTGTATTGGGTTGATATCAAATCTGTATCAGTCTTCACTCTTCAGTTCCAGTGGCCCGGTTCCATGAGCGGTGGGGTAGCCTAGTGGTTGAAGCGTTACGCTTGTTACAACCGAAGACCGGGTTTGATTCCCCACATGGGTACAATGTGTGAAGCTCATTTCTGGTGTCCCCATCGTCATATTGCTGGAATATTGCTAAAAGCAGCATCAAGTTAAACTCACTCACTCACTCACTGTGATTGAGAAAGGAATGAACTACATGCAGTCCAACAAAGTACTGAAGATAAATGTAACTGAATTAAATATTGTGTCCTTTACTCCTGGCTGTTTGAATAGAGTTGCTTCCTTTATTTGTATTGAGATTAGTTGTGCCTCTGATTTTTTGTTTGCTAGTGCTTGTGTATAAACAGGATAAACCCTGCTCTCTGACAAAAACACACTCTTGAGTAATGTATCACTATAATCATCTTGTACAGCAGGCACACGGGTTGTTGCTCATATCAATGACCCTTTGTTCTATCATCAGCTTCATGCTTATTTCCATGGCTGTGTATTGTCCCAAATTTCGTATTGCGATTTATTGCGATACACTCTTCTGTATTGCGATACGTATTGCAATATATTGTGAAAGAACAGTTATTGAGATCTGTCCACTTTGTAATATTCTTTTACCTTCAAATTGAATCACAGTATATGTGAGTAACCATTGTGCATTGTATAGCCTTTTTTCAAAGTGAAAAAAGGAAAATCCAGAACATTCTCCTGTTTATATTTTTATTTTAAAACAGCAGGGATCGACACTCGCTAAACATTTTAACTGGCCCTCTGGGCTAGTGGATTTTGTATGTCACTAGTCCTTTCCAAAAATTACTATCCCTACGCTTTACTTTATAAAAACCTTTCAACAAGTCTTTCTTTTAATTGTAACTGCTGTCCAAAGGAAAGTTAATGCAGATAAATGTATTGATTTCTCATTTCATATATATGACAAATTCAACTGAAACTAGCTTACACTATGTCCTCCATCGACCCACCCATATTATTTACTAGTATATACTTTAACTTCTTTAAACAGCAAAGGATGTTGAATTTCAAATAATTTAAAGAGTTAAAGAATTTACTGTACACATCTGTATTACTCAAGTAAAATTTCATTGAAGTCACAATCATGTGACATGATCGTGAAGTGCACATTCTAATCAAAACGATGGTTTATGCACCTTTGTCTTTGAATAAAAGTATTATTAACATTACCTATTTCATGAATGACGTTTGGTACACATTCACATAAAGAAATGATTTAACAAAACACTCACGATGGGCAAAAGTCACTCTGTATCAGGTAAAGTACACTTTCTTTAGACTGAACAGAATAATGAAAAAAACCCAATGAAACATGAGAAACATAACCTTACAATAAGATAGAAGCCTATGTTTATCAAGGAAAATATCAGTTCGTGAAGCATTATTGCTATGTCATACACCATTTAAAGTTTTTAGGTCTAATCCAACTGTTGATAAATACCAAAGGTATGTTTGTCATATTATTCAAATAATACAACTTCAAGTTCAACTTAAATACATTCATTTCTAATAGTAATACAAATTTGCATACTTAAAATGTCCTTAAAATGTCCATATAAACGATGAAGGAGATGTAAACTCCAGCTATTGTAATCCATTTGTAAGATGCCATAATATCCTCTTACCTATTTCTTTTATATTTTATTGTTTACGTAATCAGAAAATTATTATATAAAGATTAATTAAATAATATGCATGGTCGCCTATTTCCCGATAACCGTGGCTTTTCACCCGGTAACATGACACAACATTGGGAAATGCCACTGTTTTCGAAGCTCCGTATGAACACTCTAGAAGATTCAGTTGATGGCAGGTATTGTTCCAAAGCTCTAATCATCGATAATATCACAGTAACCTTGCCAGGAGTATTTTCGCTGTTGTAAGAAGCGATTTTATTGGATAAAGATTGGTTTCTAATGAGGCTTTTTCACCACAGTCTGCTATAAGGTTTGTGATTGGTAAAAATCATACTCGTAGTAAGCCAATCATATTACAGCAATAGACAAAAGTTTTGGGTACAATAATGCTATTCTGAACGTGTTAAGCAACAAATCGCCATAAATACATAACTTATGGAACTTATGGGACGTATCCTGCTAGGTGGCGACCTGTGACAAATATTCTTTATGCAAATGTTTTCTCATTAAACATCGTGTCCGAGCATGAAGATCGAGGTGACGAAAGCCGAGATGTCACTTGACTAACATAACATGATCGCATGAAAAGATGGAAATAGTAACTTAGATGTACGTTTGACAACTTTTATTAAAGCTGTTGATTTTATTCATTAGTGTATTCAATTTTAATGATTTCCTCGAAACGTCCATACTTTGCTCTTTGACAATTGTTACGTGGACCCATTGCCAGTCATTTGGAAAGACTTCCGCCCAATCCCCACCCACCACCACCACCCATATTACCTGAATAAACATATATAACGTTTTCGGGGCGGTGGGGTAGCCTAGTGGTTAAAGCGTTCGCTCGTCACGCTGAAGACCCGGGTTCGATTCCCCACATGGGCACAATGTGTGAAGCCCATTTGTGGTGTCCCCCGCCGTGATATTGCTGGAATATTGCTAAAAACGGCGTAAAACCATACCCGCTCACTCACTATATATCTTTTTCCTCACCATTAAAATTTAGGGGGTATACGGGCGGAAGTCTTATGTGCGGTGTTGAATGGGTTAGAATTGAACAAATAAATCTTTGGCGGTATACCGGTACGTCATAACCGTATCGCAATACATAATTGTTACAATTTCGTATTGCGGTTTACCGGTAATACCGTGCAGCCCTACTTATTTCCTGTATAGCGTTATGAGATTATAGACTACTACACACTGAATGTTTTTCTCTGCAGATAATAAGATGAGGAGGAGAAGTCAGATTATCACCACATCAGAAGGCCACCATCACGTAGTAAGTGAAGCTTTGTTGTTACAGTGTTAGCAGCGAGGATTTCCAAAAATCAGGGCAGTGGGTAGCCTAGTGGTTAAAGTGTTGGCTCGTCATGCCAAGGACATGGGTTCAATTCCCCACATGGGTACAATGTGTGAAGCCCATTTCTGGTGTCTCCCCGCCATGATATTGCTGGAATATTGCTAAAAGCGGCTTAAAACCATATATCACTCAATTCCAAACATCAGTAGTTGGTGGAGGTTCTATGGTAACCAGCTGACCATGTATCAGTCTGTTTTAGGGTTCTGTATTGACTCTCAAAACTTAAGGTTTTTAAGAAACAGATGTGATGATGCTTTAGCATTACCATATCTACTTCAGTGCAACCCAAACTTAAATCTAATTGCATGAACTACTCTTTAGATCATCAACGACCCCATGTTGCCATGGTTACCTAGACCACATCGACCATGGAGAATTTCATGCAATGTAGACATTGTTGTACGTATCATATGATATCACGATCAAAGTTTGTGATCTGGATCCACACCTTAGATATCATTACATCCCTTCTTGTTGGTTGCAAGGTGCATATATCCTGGCACTCTGATATGGCTTTGATGCTCATGCGTGTCATGGAACAAATATAGTTCCTTTGGTTATTTGCTTTGCTGAGTGAGTGAGTTTAGTTTGACACCGCACTCAGCAATATTCCAGCTATATGGCGGCGGTCTGTGAATAATCGAGACTGGACCAGACAATCCAGTGATCAACAGCATGAGTATCGATGTACACAGTTGGGATACGATGACATACGTTAACCAAGTCAGCGGGGTGACCAGCCGATCCCGTTTGTTGCATCTTACAGCAAGCATGGGTTACTGAAGACCAGTTCTAATCCGGATCTTCACAGGTCTGGTTTGCTGAGCATATATTCTGTGGGGATATTATCTGGCATGTGATTGGTCCTTTGTAACAGGATGCAACTGAAATGGATTGTGGTTAGACTTATTTGAAAGCTTGTCATCAGCCCATGATGGAGCTGAAAATGTAAACCATTAGTTTGTCTAAGAGAGGCTGTTATTTGCAGGCCTCAATCATTTAGCTTCAATATTGCTGACAGTGTAAAACAATATTCACTCACTAATAAAGTGTCAACTAACCTGGATGACATGGAATGGAGATCAGATCAGTTGCATCCCTATCCCATACCAAAATCTTTGGGTAATGGCCATTCATTTTAAATCCAAATCAGACAAGTTTGATTTAATCATTTTTTAGGTGGACGAGTATGGACAGCTGAAGAAATTCAGCTCGTGTTCCACAATATTCATCGATGACTCCACAGTGTCACAGCCCAATCTGAAGAACACAATCAAAGCAGTAGCTCTTGCCATCTACTTCCACATCCGGAACCGTGATCGGCTCATGCCTCCTCACAACGCAGAATCACATATACAGGATATATTTGATGAGAAAAAACACCCTTTGTCTGTATGTATTATTTTGGGGAGCATATATTGAAACTTTGATCGTAGGTTTATGAATTTATTGTATGAGGATTTTTGAAGTAGTAAATGATTTCATGTATTTTGAAAACAAAACTTGATGAATATGATTAAAAGTACCATATTCAATATAAGATGAAAAAACATATAAGGCTTAATTTAGTTTTGTTACACCTTGATCGTGAACTTCTTGATCTTGACATTTCAGAAGGAACCTGTCCCAGATGACTACAACAAGAGGGACCCTGAACACAAGACGATATATCGATTTGTTAGGAACCTGTTCAGTGCTGCCCAGCTCACAGCAGAATGTGCAATAGTTACCTTGGTGAGTGCCATTGGTAAAACGGACATAAACTATCTTTCCAAGTGTGTGTGTGATTTCCTTGTTTGAAAATGTGCTGTTATTGGTTTGTGTTTCATGGAACATATCATTGGCATCCATTCTCTGGTTCTGGGTTCAATATTTGCGACTTGAAAATATTGTCGGCTTCACCAAACTCTGTCAGCTGAAAGACAGTTCAGAGCAGTGTTAAGCTCCCTCATTAAGATGTGCTGACTTAAAGTACAGCAGACCATGGGATTATGATGAATGGATTGAACCTATCCATCCAGTCTTCATCTGAGGGGGTCATGGTTGATGAATGGATCGAACCAATCCATCCAGTCTTCATCTGAGGGGGTCATGGTTAATGAATGGATCGAACCAATCCATCCAGACTTCATCTGAGGGGATTATGGCGGATGAATGGATCGAACCAATCCATCCAGTCTTCATCTGAGGGGGGTCCCTGCCTGGCGCTCGGCATTAATGGGTACAACAAGGACTGGTTGGCTCGGAGTCAGTATAATGTGTCTGAGTGGGCTATTCATGCTTCACTGCGGCATGGTATCTCAGTGGGCTAGCACAATAAAACCAGCTTAAGTCTGGGCTAGTACAAGCAGCCGCACATACACATACAAACGCATGCACGTCGTCATATGAGCGAAATATTCTCAAGCACGACGTTAAATTCAATTTCACCTCACCTCACCTCATCTGAGGGGATCATGGTTAATGAATGGATCGAACCAATCCATCCAGACTTCATCTGAGGGGATCATGGTTGATGAATGGATTGACCAATCCATCCAGTCTTCATCTGAGGGGATTATGACGGAGGAATGGATAGGACCAATCCATCCAGACTTCATCTGAGGGGATTATGACGGACGAATGGATGGATCCAATCCATCCAGACTTCATCTGAGGGGGTCATGGTTGATGAATGGATCTGAACCAATCCATCCAGACTTCATCTGAGGGGATCATGGTTGATGAATGGATCGAACCAATCCATCCAGACTTCATCTGAGGGGATCATGGTTGATGAATGGATCGAACCAATCCATCCAGACTTCATCTGAGGGGGTCATGGTTGATGAATGGATTGAACCAATCCATCCAGACTTCATCCGAGGGGATTATGACGGGTGAATGGATCGAACCAATCCATCCAGTCTTCATCTGAGGGGATCATGGTTCATGAATGGATCAAACCAATCCATCCAGACTTCCTCTCAGGGGTCATAGTTGATGAATTGAATGGATTGAACCAATCCATGTAGACTTCATCTGAGGGGTCATGGTTGATGAATGGATTGAACCAATCCATCCAGACTTCCTCTCAGGGGTCATGGTTGATGAATGGATTGAACCAATCCATGTAGACTTCATCTCAGGGGTCATGGTTGATGAATGGATTGAACCAATCCATCCAGACTTCCTCTCAGGGGTCATGGTTGATGAATGGATTGAACCAATCCATCCAGACTTCAACACAGACAGGATATTTCTGCAACAGAAATTTTCCCATCCACATTAAAATAATTCTTACGTAATGGTATATAGAGGGACTGTTGAAGTTTGTGGCCTGATTATGGCCATGCTAGAAGTATATGTAAGGAACAATACCTTGCTGTGATATGTAGTACTATTCTTTGTCTGCAGGTGTATTTGGAAAGACTTTTAACCTACGCCGAGATAGAGGTTTCCCCAGCAACGTCGCGGCGAATCGTTCTTGGTGCCATCCTTCTTGCTTCCAAAGTATGGGATGATCAGGCTGTGTGGAACGTGGACTTCTGTCAGATTCTCAAAGATGTTGCTGTAGAAGACATGTACGTTTTCATTAACTTCATTACATAATTGTGGATTTGAGGTGCTTCAAAGATGTATTGTAAAGAGTATTAAAACTGTGTGTTTAATGAGCATGTGATATTGAAGAAAATTATGTTGAACTTTGAAATAATTCAGGGCTAATAAGCTATCGATGCTGATTATCAATGGGACAGTTTCAGTTTATGCTAGTTTCCTACATTGAATATTTATTCGTTTTGTGTGACAAAATGTCCCGACTGAACATCCTGGTTACAGGACATTGCTGGGGAAGTTGTATGATCATGTTTTTTCTTTCCTCCAGGAATGAACTAGAACGGCAGTTTTTAGAGTTGCTTCAGTTCAACATCAATGTACCATCAAGTGTCTATGCCAAATACTACTTTGACCTTCGATCTCTCGCTGATGCTCATGATTTGGTCTTTCCCCTGGAGCCTCTCAGTAAAGACAGGGCCCTCAAGTTGGAGGTATGTTGTAAAACTAGATTTGGTCAGACACACAGCACTGTCAGATTAGTGAAAAACTGGAAGTACTGTCTTTGTTCTACAAAATATTGTTCCTGTTTCATACCGTAGGGGACTGTAAGGTCGCAGGTTCGATACCAAAAGACGTTAAAATATGGTACTTGTTGGTCCCTGTCTGGCGCTTGGCATTAATGGGTACAACAAGGACTGGTCGGCTCGGAGTCAGTATAATGTGTCCGAGTGGGGTATTCATGCTTAACTGCAGCATGTTATCTCAGTGAGCTAGCACTATAAAACCAGCTTAAGTCGGGGCTAGTACAAGTAGCCATGCATACACATGCATGCATGTTGTCATATGAGCGAAATATTCTCAAGTATGATGTTAAAGCCTATTTCACCTCACCTCATACCGTAGTGATGTGGACCAGTTGGGTTTTAATAACTGACATGTTAACTGGTAACTTCTTTGAGAGGCATTTTAGAAATTGTAAACATGAAGGAAAACCAAGTTCTATGGACAGTCAACTTCTTTATTGCAATGAATGCAATCCATTACTATAAAGAAGTTAAATATCCATAGAACTTGGTTTTACTTCATGTAACTGGTAGTTTTTGATGGAAAAATTGATGGATTTATTATATTCCCAACCTATATACAGAGAAACGTGTCTAAACCTGCACCCCACGGGACTGAAATATAATGCCGGTTTAGACAGTGATGATCATTTTCCAACATGGCTGTCATTTACACTCGTCAGTCTCTTTATCGCTTATAATCTAGCGTGCAGAGAGGAGTGTATTGGATTAAGGGACCTTGATTGGACTGCTCATACCCATGCCGGCTTATAGTGTTTGATTCACCGCGCAACTACTTTCTGATTATCTAGCGTGTCAGGATTAATTAGTGTATTGGATTAAGGGACCTTGATTGGACTGCTCATACCCATGCCGGCTTAGAGCGTTTGTTTACAGTTAAAATTGCTTGTTGGGACCGGAAAGTCATGCCTGAATACGGAATAGACAGGTGCCGGATTAGACAATGTTTTAATGATCATAATATTGTTGTAAAATGGTGGGACCAAAATTTAAGCCGGTTTTGACAGTGTGCCAGATTAGACAGGTGCCGGTGTTAGCAGGTTTCACTGTAGTGAAAGGAATGTCTTCTCTATTACAGGCTATGTGCAGTGTGTGCGAAGACAAGGTTCGTGCCTGGCAGAAGACGGGGAAGATCCACCGAACTGCTAGTCTAGATGGCTTATCAGTGTCAAATAGAGGCAGCAAAGCCATCCTCTCTTGATCACCAGTGTCATTACTTAGTCGTAAATTTAATTTTGATTGGTCAATCAGGATGATCGACAGGTGACAATCATCATGAATGCCCTGTGAATGTGTCTGCCCACAGGCTTTAAATATTTTATATATGTAACTTATCACTTGGCAGGAAGTTCACTTGCAGTGAAATGCACATGCAACATACAAGATACTGGCAGTGAATCATAGGCAGGATTAGGTATGAGGTAGGACCACACTGAAATGTACATGATATATACTACATATTGTAAGCTGCTTCTAGGAATCTTGAATTTGAACAAAATGTATGGAGGATATTGCTCAGTGTTATTAGTACTTTTTGTTCTGTCAGTGTTTTTGTTGTTAATGATATCACAGGTTGTGGTCGTTCCACGACAGATATTCACAGCAATGTATGCCAAAAACATGGGACTTTGTTGACACAGGTAATGGAAGAAGTGTTTGGATGTATTAGTGATATTAGAAATAGAACTGATGTAATGATGTAGGAAGTATTAAGATCATTTATATATATTCTCACCTCATCAGTCATCAGCTTCTAGTGTTGATATATGTGATGAAAACAGCAAATCAACATTGCTCATAAGTATACAGGAACCAAACAAGAATGTCTCCTCAGCCTTAAGGCCTTCCTTTTTTTAGTGGTTTGTTTACAAATATATGCTGTTTCATTGGGCATTTTTGTGAGTTCTGACATGAATTTTAACGTTTTAATAAGTTTTACCTTGCAAAGATTCAAACGTTGCTGAGAGTATCAGCGAAGGTACAGATAGTATTTGTTGTGGGTGCATGTCATGGAATGATGGATGATTTACAGGTGATTGAGTTTGGATTACATTACAAGCTAACTAAAAACAATTGCCTTCCCTAAGTGTATGTTATTTCAAGGACATTCCTCCCAAAATAATTGTCTCACATGACCCACCAGAGAACCAAAATATCAAATCTGAAATCAGGCAAATGGTATTGTTTATATGAACAATACCATTCTGTTGTCCCCACTTCGTCAAGACTCTTTTAATATTGTACATCTTCCCACTTATCCATGTTGTTTTTCTTTTCCACCCATTGCTCTTATTAAGTGACCAGTAAACATGTTGTGTTATAAAGTTGTGTTTGCTGATAAGACAATTTCACAAGCAGAATGTAATTCAACCTTCAAGATATATTTCTAACATCCAAGTATATGTAGATCGCTATAGTAAGGGATATAACTTTTTGACATGTCAGTAAAAGAAACAATTATTTCAGCAAAGTTGATCAAGCACTTATTTATTTCATTGTAACTTTTGGGGCAAAAATCTGGACTACAGTGATTAGAAGGGTCTAAACCTCACACTGAATTCAGTGGTAAATTTGTTGTTCCATTGTTATTTATTGTCAGAATTATTAGGAGGAATTTTGTGATAAAATGTAAGCATTTGTGTAGAACACAAACTTTGCATGTTACGTTTTTGGGTAATATGATAAGAGCATGTGACAAAGTCCACAACTGAATTGTAATAGTTGTTTGACCAACTGAATATATTTTGACCTGACGGAAAACACCCCCTACAAATGAACATTAGGTGTGCAACTTTTGTAGAAGATAAAAATCTCACAAACCGATTGATAAAAAGCATTTTTCTTAATCTTTTACTATCACACGGCTCATTTGATTTTGATTGAGACAACAGTTTCTATGATTTAATGGTTACAACTGCTTGTTGTAACTCATAGCTTTGATGTTTGCTCAAAATGAGGTGATGAGGCTATGACAAATGAATAATTTGTTCTCCTGAATTGGAAAATCTATATTTATGAAGGGAAGGTGGGGTAGCCTAGTGGTTAAAGCGTTCACTCGTCACGCCGATGACCCGGGTTCAATTCCCCTGCTGGGTACAATATGTGAAGCCCATTTTAGTGTCCCCTGCTGTGATATTGCTGGAATATTGCTAAAAGCAGTGTAAATCCATACTCACTCACTATATTTATGGCAGTATGCTTTCTTATAAAGAAATGACTTGTGTGTTGTCTGACTTGCATACACCTACTGATGAGTCTGTCTATTGTTACAGTTGTCCCAAATATACTTCAGATATTTTTTGCCCTATGTCACCAAGGTGTAAGTTTCAATGAATTTGGTTTCTTATAAATGATAAGATTTTGATGAACAAATTACTGTTTGGTTATGGCCTTACAACCTTTGGAGAGAAGTTCAGTATCTACTGGTTCACACTTTGGGTGCACGAGTAGGGATTGTTTGGGGACCAGATGTATTAAAGTGTAAGATTCAGGTAACACTTCATACAATTGTTTGGGGGATTGTTGTGGATAGATAAAGAAAGTTGTAGTCATCTGGGTCTGTGTTGGCCATATCATGGGTTTCATTCTTGAACTACAAGGGACCAATATAGGAGGATTCCTACTAAGTTTCAGTATATGGGGAGATGGGGTGGAATCATGTGGTAAATATTACATCTGATTGTGAGTAATGAGATAGCATTGACTGGGTGCTGTAGATGTTATGGTTTGAAGAATAAGATGCAGTAAAATGAAATATGTTGCATCGCGGTGACGTCATCCAGTGAGTAGACTGACCAAGTCGTTGACCTTAACTTAGGTCTTTATTATTTACAAGAAGATATGTCTGGTTCAAATATAACAACAGATGACATATCTCTCAGCTTAGGAAAATTAGCAAAAAGAACTTTTTCTGTAAGATCCTGTCTCATTTAAGTTGTGTGGCATTAAAATGAACTCAATGAACCACAATATGTTCCGTGTGTAGGTACCCGTGAAGGTCCGGGTAAGAATGAACCCTTAGTAACCCATGCTTATCGTAAGAGGCGACTAACAGGATCGGGTGGTCAGGCTCGCTGGCTTGGTTGACACATGTCATCGGTTCCTAATTGCGCAGATTGATGTTCATGCTGTTGATCACTGGATTGTCTGGTCCAGACTCGATTATTTACAGACCGCCGTCATATAGCTGGAATATTGCTGAGTGCGGCGTAAAACTAAACTCACTCACTCACTCTGTGTGTAAGTAGGAAGGTGGGTAGACTACCTAACAACATGCGAGTATGGAATGTTGTCATGTTTAAGTATCCTCGATAATCTCCTGGGTATATGTTTCGATAAGTCTCCATAAGTCGAGGATGTGTTTAAGTTGCATTTGCATCTATATATTTTATGATTTTGCCATAATGTATGAAATTTGAATGGTTATAAAATGATAGATTAATCATTTCTATTTTACTCCCATACCTGTTTCACAACCAACCTCTCTTCTCACATTTTGTGTTTCCACATCCACGTACAGATGAAGAAATTGGTACATGGGTTAATATCCCTTCTCATGGTTGATCAACAGACTGCTTACATACATGTAGTCCTAAATGTTCAAGGGTCATATAGTAAACATTTGGTAATGTACATGTAAGCCATGAGCTATTGTTTATGAAAAACAAGAGGAAAATAGAAGGCCTGCAGTGCAATTGGTAGTAACCAGTGCCCAGTTTCTTAATGTGCGCTTTGAGATATCTGGTCCAGTTAAGGTTCGAAGGCCTAGCTGTAAGATCAGGTAAACTCCTCATGCTCAGTGCATTCAGTAGGTTCTGTCTGACACATCTGTGTGTACAACTTGATTCAGGATAATTGTATTATTGTTATTTTGGGGGTTGGTTTTTTTAGACTGCAGAATTTGATATTCTTTCTACAAGATAACTGATTTTTTCCAAAATTCAACTCACTGGTCCATTTTTTATCATAAAGCAACAAAGGTTTTGCCTTTTTTCAAGATGCTATTATCACAAAATGACAGATTCATCATCTGATTTCATCAAAGTATATAGGGTGTATGTGTGTCGTGAAGAGTAGCTTCCCTTAGGCATGACTGAAACCTGTGATCACAGGTAGAATCTTGTCCTGACTGAGTTTCTAGATGCGTCAGCATGGGCTCATGGTTCGCACCATAAACACCATTGTTCCTTCCTTTGACATAAAGGGGGCTGTGGGTTAGCCTAGTGGTTAAAGCGTTCGCTCATCACACCAAAGACCCGGGTTCGATTCCCCACACGGGTAGAATGTGTGAAGCCCATTTCTGGTGCCCCCTGCCATGATATTGCTGGAATATTGCTAAATGCAGCATAGAACCATACTCACTCACTCACTCACTTCCACATAAAGCCATGACATGATAGAACGGAAATACTGTTGAAATGAGTGCTAACGAAACTAGTTTATTCTCTCAAAATACATGATAGAATTGTAAGGATATGTTTTAGAACTGTTTTGCATAACGTGTACATATATAAGAATTCTCTTAATCTCATTATTTAATTTGCATGGAATGTGGTCAGTTGTCAAAGTTAAGAAATAATGTAAACTAAGTTTATGTTGAATGTATTTGCTTCATTTATTCAAAAGTTTCAGTAAACTTACAAATTATTTGTCATTTTTTCATGGTCAGCTTGTAATAAGGAAAGTCGGTGAAATAATCTAAAGTTGGACAATTTGGTAACATGGTGTGAGGTAGGATATTAATTGGTGTCGGTATTTAGAAGTGTTTTCTCATATTATATTTTTACCTCAGAGTGGAATTCATGTGGAAATCTTGTATTATGAACATTTGTCCTGAACATGATTAGTGCTTTACAAAATATTTTCATACACTAGTATCACTGTAGATGATAAACATCCTCATGTTTCTGTCCCAATGTAATGGAGACTGTGATGATGACCTAGTGAAATGCCATTCTTGCTTCTCCGGTGTAATCACAAAGGGTTCATTGCAAACCCAAATATTTTTCCATAAGTTGGTATCTAGTCTCCATGACAACTTTTTGAAACACATCTGAAAATAATTTACAAGTGTTTACCTATACCTATAAATCAGTTGAGAGGTGGTGGGGTAGCCTGGTGGTTAAAGCGTTGGCTTGTCATGCCGATGACCCGGGCTTGAATCCCCACAAGAGCACAATGTGTGAAGCCCATTTCTGGTATCCCCGCTGTGATATTGCTGGAATATTGCTAAAAACAGCATAAATCTCAACTCACTCACTTACTATAAATCAGCTGTCATGACTACATGGAGGTTCCTGGTAACCTATAAAAGTATTTATCTGTGTTTGATGACAAATTATTATACCTTTGAAACCCATGGAACACACTTTTATCAGAGACATTAAATTAATATCTGCTACATCATTTTGGAATTTTACCCAAGAACCGTTTAACACTTGTAGTTTGTAGTTGTAGTTTGTGCCAGAAACAGTGGTTGAACAGAATTATTTCATCCTTGAGTGGATGTACATCATATTTTTATGTGTTGATATGTCTTTCAGAATGTTTTGGCAAATGCTGCCTCTCCTAAACTGTGTTGTAAATTACCTGTACATAGAGCTGAGGAGTTGAAAACAATGCTATTTTATTCTTGTCAACATCTCACTGCATGTGTCATTACGAGAACATTTCCTGTGTTCTAAACTATCCTTGTCATTTCCATCATGGTTATGCAAACTGGTATTTTGTAAAGCTTTAAAAATGGCCAAAATGTAATGTTAGTCTTGTGGTAGAATTATTGGTTTTAGAAGAATCGAAAGGAAAATATTTGAGTTAATTTACATTTTGATAACTCTTACACTAGTTAATATATTTTTAGACATTGTCTTTGCATAAAGGCTTAGATCACAGGAGCACATTGTAAATGGTGCTTTGTTTATACTAATTTAATAATTATTGATGTCATTTATACTAATTTAATCAATATTGATAATGTGTACATATGTTGGATCTCATTATTGAGATCTTGAACCTAGTCCATTCATTTTGAGATGGTTAGTCATTGTACTGATAGGTTAATACCCAGATCCAAATCATAGCTATATGTCTGACGTTTTATTTATGAATAATGTGTTATTTTATTTATTTTTATTTCAACATGGAGCTGGTTGTACAAAAACTTAAAACAAACAGGTCACAAAAGACCCAAATATTCGCTCATTGAAATCACTTGTGTTTCAACAAAATGAAATGTTTTTTGTGTTGATTTTCTGATAATGAACATAGTATATATTTAGGTTATATTTACTTTATTTCCAAGAAAAATGGCTAAAAGTATTGCGTCATAATACGCTCATTCTTAGCGCTAATATTAATGATATGTAATCTCTTGTGTTTGTGTGAAGGACATGGTTCTCTTGGATGGTAATACATGTTATTTCGGCAACACAACTTGTCCTCAGTACTTTCACTTAGAAATCAGATCTCATGAACAAAATAATCCTGCTGATTAGAGCACTGTGTGGATTATCTCTCCTTGTTGTCATGGCGATTACATGACAAAATACAAGTTCATGCACTTCTAAACAGGCAACCAGGAATATCCAGTGTATTATGCCCTTGTTCTTGTGGTAGACACCTTACTCATTCACAAACATAGCTTTTGATTGGAATGAAATGTCCAATCAAATTACACCATTATTAGGTCTTGCTTTAATAATTCCGCAATTTTCAATATAGGTCTAGGCCAAACTCTTGTTTCTAAGAATGATAAATCATTTTAAATGTTGATTTGAGCCGAAAATGAATAAGTAGTAAATTAGTGCTAACTGAGATGAAGATGGTGACATCTCTATCAGGATGTCCAGCAGGATTTGCTGCCTGTGTTATCTATTCCTGGTTTCATCCTATGGTTGCCAGTCAGTCGGAGCTTAACAACCGGATTCAAAACGTAGTACTTGCCTATGACCAGATCATGATGTAAGTGGTAAGAGAATCCCAGTTAGTTGGATTACAGCTATTGTTCAAGCTACTGGTCACAAGCTCTGACTGTCGGACTGCTGCAGTCAAGGGCTCAAATCCTGGAAATGTATTGAGGTGGGTAACTTGTCAAAGTGTCACCTTCTTCCACTAAATGTTCTGTTGCAAGATGCCTCCCTTTAGTGATACTTGTCTTTCACTATCATAATTACTGAATCTCACTGTGCTGATTATCCATGTAAACATGACCAGATTTTCGACTGAGATTGTGTCATTAGGAAATATTGTGAGGAACCATACCCAAGTAAGCTTGACTGAGAGCAGTATAACCAGTGTTTGAAGTAGGCACGTCTAGAAGCTATGATTATATATCCCCACATACCCATGCAGTGCATTGCCAGAAATGCTTCATGCCAAATAGTAGGAGTAACTTTCAATGTAACTGACTCGGCATAAAGCTATGCATTTTCAGGATCCTGGCTACAGGCGGAACAGTGCCCGGCTACCCATTGAATAAAGTCCTGTGTCTTATGTTACTGAGTTCAATGGAATGCATAGGATATTTTATTTGATCTGTCTCCGTGGTAACCAGTCAGCCATTTTGTATTACTGTGTAAAACATGACATGTATGAGTTTGTACACAGCTGATGACGTTTGTGATTAACACTGACTAATAAAGCATCAGGACAAGCCTGTTTTATGTTTTTACCGATGTGGTGGGATGGGGACGGATGTTGATGTCAACAGCTTGATCAGCTGCTCCCGACACCTGCTCACTTTTGAAAGAGATGGTATGGGCAAACAACCTTGAACATCAGAGCAAGCATACAGAAGGCTTGATCTATGTGTTTGTAGTAATTCATTGGTTTGTCAATTGTATATTTAATGCACACGTTTATTCAGCCACTGGATTGTATTTATGAAGATCAACACCACAATAGTATAGATCAGTGGTTGGCTAGCCTGGTGGTGGGCGGTGGGGTAGCCTAGTGGTTAAAGCGTTGGCTTGTCACGCCGAAGACCCGGGTTCGATTCCCCACATGGGTACAATGTGTGAAGCCCATTTCTGGTGTCCCCCGCTGCGATATTGCTGGAATATTGCTAACAGCGGCGTAAAACCATACTCACTCACTCACTCACTAGCCTGGTGGTTCCTTCTCTTGGATACAGTGATATGTTATCAAACAATACTCCGCATCGCACCGCACCAATCAATCCACGAAGTCATGGATTTTCTCATGGGCCTATACATATACATTTTTAACGCACACGCTTATATCGAACTACGAACTAAGCTTAAGTAATATCTTTGAGTTCGTTATAACCGTAGTTTGCTATATGAGTGTGAGTGAGTTTAGTTTCACACCGCTTTTAGCAATATTCCAGCAATATCACGGCGGGGAACATCGGAAATGGGATTCACACGTTGTACCTAAGTGGGGAATCGACCCGGGCCATCGGCGTGACGAGCGAACGCTTTAACCTCTAGGCTAACCAACCGCTCCAGTTTGCTGCGTGAACCAGGACCCCACAGGGTTGATCGTTAACACTGAACAATCTGACAAGAAACAGTCGAATACGGTTGCATAAGTAAGAGCAGGTAAATAGTTATAGCATGACCAGAAATTATTGAGAATTTTAGGAATATGTTTAATTGGATTTCTAGTATAAACAACCTTGACCAGCTATCAAGTACTTGGTTTCATTCAAGAGAGACAACTCCGTTAATTCTTTTTCATTAGTTTGTGAAGAGTTATTCCCCTTTGTTTACTTGCTAGGAGACGACATTTTCAGTGATCCTCAGTGTGAATGATTTAGAGAAGAGGAAGTTGATTTAAGAGTATTATAACAAGGACATCAGATCAGCTAAAGTGATTTCAAGTAGAACAGGCATCCCTTTATCCACTGTTTATCGTGTTTTGAAAAATATTACAAATGGATATGGCATTGAGCACAAGGGAGGTGCAGGTAGGCCCAGAAAATAGACTGTCGGTGACAGGAGGCGACTTAGTATTCTTTTTCTAAAACAAACGAAGGAGTTTAGAAAACTTAAAGAACCACTAAACTTTGTTTTTGTTACTCTTTAACCATTACATATGAAAGATTTGTGGTTAGTCTTATGCGGAACACCAAATTTATTCTTTAAAACTTGTGGTTAATTAATACCGAGCGATTCAAAGTGGCCAAAAGTCGCCTGCTTCCCTCTCGCCCGCCAACGAAACCACAGACAGGTTACGTAACTCTGTCGCCAGAGCACTGCAGTGACGTCATATGAGGAACGATTTTCAGTTAGTTGTATAGAAAATGTGTAGCACGCTCATCATTTTGATGATTTCTCGACATCAACGACGACATGCCGAATCGTTGCTTTGTCGTCAATTGCTCCTAGGGGTCGGGCGTGTCCCCATGCACAGATTTCTACAGGACCCCGCAGTTCGTGCTAAATGGGTTATGTTTGTGAGTGCGAAGCGAGCGTTGTGGAAGCCTGAAACGATATCTTACTTGTGTTCAGATCGCTTCACGGAAGTTAAAGAATCAAAACTACTTTACTAGTTGTAGTAAAATATGCATATGATTGATGACCATAAAGATTTTCTATGACACAACTTGTAACATAACGATTTCTTCCTCGGAAGTGAGGTTGTGGTCGAAGTAACAATAATATTGTAAGTAGTATTATATTGACTCCACCTCGCTGCCACGAGAGAAATTGTTATGATATATATACTGCTAGTCATGCAAAATCCTATTATTATCAATCAAATACATATTTTACTACCAGTAGAAAGTAGTTTTGATTTTAGACTCGGTGAAAACAAACCTAAATACCATTTATCCTCAGACTGGCGGATGTTCCCGACAGGGCGCCGCCATTTTAAAAAAAAAAATCTGTTAGAATTAATGAGATTATAGTTTGTTTTCATCAAGTTAGAAAATCAAGACTACTTTCTACTCGTTGTTAAATATGTATTGGAATCATAACCAAACGGATTTTGCATGACACAACTTATAACATAACGATTTCTTCCACGAAAGCGAGGTGGGGGTCGAAGTCACAATACTGCGCGATAAATTTCTTGCTACATTCCCATGGTTAATGTCCACTCACCAGTATGTAGATACTAGTCAATGTGCGTCTTTATATTTGGTCTTATAATCCTAATTAGTTTATTATCACACTTGTATGCATTTTGAAACTAAATAAAAAGCAGACGATCTGCTGATACTTATAGTGAATTTATAACAGAACTGTAATATCTAGACATTTTATAGTTTGCCAATGTGAATCATAATTCGCACACACACCCTAGTGCATGTTGTCTGTCTCATTACACTTCACGGCGAAAACAATGATTCTGTTGAATGCTACGACAAATGAATAAAAACAAAATGCAAATATTAAAATTAAAACAGATTAAAGTTATAGGAACAATATCAGGCCATTACCTTGTTCGAGGAATGTATCCATCAATATCCACAAAACTGTTCCAAATGATGTGTCTTTTAACAGTTTAATATACGAAAAAGTGATAAATCTTTTCAGGTATTGGTGTATAGTCTCATTGGTCACCCAAGATAGCACACCTGGCAACTAATTGCATAATGTCCGCCTTTCTTTAAAAGCAGTAATTTAGTTAGCCAATAATGGGCAATCAATCAATGTATTGCCGGTTAATCCTTTTTGACAGAAGGACGTTGTTTTACGCAGACACCGACACGACAGAGTGTATTCAGTATAGATTAGTAAATCTACATACATAAACACTACCTTTGACACAATTCTGTGTAAGATAAAAGTAATTAATCAATCAGCGTGTTATCGGTTAATCCTTTGATCGATGTTTATAATGTTGAATATTTACTCCAGACACAAGAAATGCCAAATGGGAACCTTTGTCGGGTAATCTAAGTGTGTTACCACTAATTATACCTGTTATAAATTCATTAACTGACCATCAAGTGAATGATGACAAATAACATGTGTAGGTTTATACCACCTAACACGGGTTACAACGAGGGAGTATTAATTGCTGTATTGCATGTGAAAACTTATGGGCCGACACTGTTTTGAGAATACAAACAGATTTTACATGACATGATTAAATATCGAGGTAAAACAACACAGAAATGGGATCAATTTGGATCAGTCATTATACAAATAGGGGCCTAACGACACCAATCGATTTTGACAGAATCGTCTATGAAAACAAGTTGTAACTCGGAAACTAGGCAAAAGCAGGAGACAAAATTAAATGACAGTAGATTGTGAGAACATATAGCTTTCATTTTCCACAACAATTGTCACGATTTCAGGTTTATACAAGCCGGTAAACACGATAATTTAACCCCTAAAATGTAGATGAATTCTGCATCGGCTCTCAAAGCTATTCCTCATATGACGTCACAGAGGCGCGCCGCTCTGATTGGTTGAAATTTCTGTTCGCGGGTGAGAATTGTGCACTGTTGTCAAAAGGTCGATTTAAGTCAATTAAAGGTCGAAATGAGTAGTTTTAATGACGGGGTTTCATTTATAACGATGCCAGTTAGTGATTTATGTATTTGTACCCCTAGGGTTTATGTGACCTTAAGGCTGGATATGATTGATAGAGGAACTGTGGCTGTCTGTAAGGAGACAATTAGAACTGAACTGCATGCAATGGGTTTGCAGAAAAGTCGAGGAATTCCATCACCGATCATGAAACCTGAACAAAAGGAGCGAAGGTCGAACTGGTGCTTACAGCATAGAAATTTTAACTGGGACAATGTGATTTTCTCAGATGAAAGTTCTGTGTGGCTGTTTTCTAATACACTGATATTCTGGACCAAACAAACTGAAAAACCTTTGTATCAGCGCCCAAAGTACAGTCCGAAATTTAACGTGTGGGGTGGCATATCTGTGTTAGGGGCAACGTGTATTTGAAGGGAACATGAACAGTGAGAGGTACACAGATATTCTCGAGGGACATTTACTTCCATCTGCTCACGCGTTCTATGGAAATTTTTAGATTTTCCAGAAGGACAATGACCCAAAACATCGTTCAAAGCACTCACAGGACTGGTTTCGGACCCAAAATATGCCATTATTAGATTGGCCAAGCTATATAGCCCTGACCTAAATCCAATAGAAAATGTTAGGGGACCTATGAAGGAAAGTGTCAATAAGACAAATCTGACAAATATTGCTGAAATGAAAGAAGAGGTGGTCCGATATTGGGACAGCATGGACCACGACTTTCTAACTTCTTTGATCAGTAGTATGCCCCGCCGCATTGAAGCCTGCAATGCTGCCCATGGTGACTTGACAAAATACTAACTGTTCACCTGTCTTTGAATCTGGAGTTAAGTTCTGCTAATATTCACATTTAATACGTGAGTAATGAGTGAAAAAATATAAAAAATTACAATCTTTAAATTCTCAATAATTTCTGGTTGTACTGTAAAATGATGCGGGCGTTGTTGAACGGTATAACTTCACACGCTAGCGCCCAACAAGCCCTGCCTTCCTCTCTCCACAGATGTTACAGAATTTTGGGCAGTACAGATGTGCCGAGGCTTTCTTCGGAGCATATGTCATTGGTATCACTGAGCCACTTGCAATCGAAGCCGTCGGTATCTTTGCATGCTGAAAACGTTGTTGTGACAGTAGTCGCTGTCGTCGACGTTGTAGTTGTGGATGTTGTGATGTCTGAAAGTAAGGAGGAATCAGTTGAGTTGGTGAGTATGCATTTTACCGCTGGATTTTCCCCATAGTTTACTGGACCTTTCACTAAAACATACGGCCGCCTCCGAGGTGTAGTGGTTAGAGCGTCCGCCCGGAGAGCGAAAGGTCGCGGGTTCGATCCCCGGTCGCGTTATACCAATAGACGTTAAAATATGGTACTTGTTGGTCTCTGTCTGGCGCTCAGCATTAATGGGTACAACAAGGACTGGTCGGCTCGGAGTCAGTATAATGTGTCTGAGCGGGGTATTCATGCTTCACTGCGGCATGGTATCTCAGTGAGCTAGCACTATAATACCAGCTTAAGTCTGGGCTAGTACAAGCAGCCGCATATACACATACACACGCATGCACGTCGTCATATGAGCGAAATATTCTCAAGTACGACGTAAAACCCAATTTCACCTCACCTCACCTCACTTACCGCATAAATCGCAGAAGTTCTGGCAGTGAGTTAAGGCCCACGACGCATACTGGGTACAAACAGATTTACCGTAAGATGTACAGTCCTTTAGGGTATCCAAACAAAAGTCACCTACAACAAAACAAGAAAACAAAACTAGCATCTAACATTTTTGACAGACTTTCTACCGTTCTTTGGTAATATTTGGTTTCTGTTCTGGATTTACCTGTCAGAGGATTTGTTTCCTTTACTTTCCTTCCTCACTTTTTCACTCGTGAACATCCGGGTTAGAATATTGATTTTCAGTAACCCATGCTTGTCGTAAGAGGCGACTAGCGGGATCAGGTGGTCAGACTCGCTGACTTGGTTGACACATGTCATCGGTTCCCAATTGCGCAGATCGATGCTCGTGCTGTTGATCACTGGATTGTCTGGTCCAGACTCGATTATTTACAGACCACCGCCATACAGCTGGAATATTGGTGAGTGCGGCGTCACACACGTAGTAATAATAGTAGCCAGGTTAATGTAACTGTCATATAGTCGTGCACAAGTGTCAAATCAGGCCTACCAGTACAGTCAGAATTGACACTCTGGGTAATTAAATGACAAATGACATAAAGCCAAATCTACAGTCAATATAAACTGAATGTATTAATACAGGAGTGACAAATTATATCACAGTAAACAGATAACTACATATTACAAGTGGGGTATATAATGTGCACTAGTATATTTATTTTAGCTTTAACATTGTTAAGTAACTTGCATAGTTAATCAATCCGCCATTAACCTGCAAGAACAGAATATGCTGTTGCAATACAAGCTTCGACATTATTTGTCATACAAACACAAGCATTAATTCTACTCATATTTTTTCTTAATTTTGACACTAGAAGGGCCTTCGTTAGAGATCATGCCTCCGCCTTGCACAGCAATCTCCTTTCACTAGTACATTTTTAAAGTACTACTGTTTACTTGTACTTTAATGTACTTTCACCAAACCGTACGCAGATAGCCCTGAATTGTGTAATACCTAACATAACCACCAAGATATTATTTATATTCTCCATTTATTTAACATTGCGATTATTTTCATGGTACCTCTGTGTGCATGCACTTTAACATACACTCTTCAAAAAAAAAAAGAAACGCAAAATAAAATGTGAAAATAATGATCGAAAGTTTGTATGCATATGTCAAATTAAGTATGTTTTAAGAGTTGAATATTGTTGTTGGTATGGTTTAGAAGAACATGCGTGAGCGAATGCAACCATAAACGATTTTGAATGGTTTTATCGATCATGATTGTCGTGACTGTTATGGAACACAAGCAAAAAGCTGCAATTATTGCTTTTCACAGGAAAAGCATGAGTACAACCTATGACTATAAAAGACCCAAATGCATCTCGAAAATTCATCCAAGACCCTTGCAATATCTAGGTGAGAAAACGGGACGTCTCAACGGTTCCCACCGAAATATTGCCATTGGACGATTACAAGCTGACGAATCAAAGAGTGTTGTGGCGAGGACCTCCAGCATTCATCCCAGCACAATAACGCGTTTGCGGGATCGTTTTGTGCATTCCATTTCGACAAATTACCACCCAAGACCAGGAAGACCGTGAGTCACCACACCAGCCCAAGATCGCTACATCCGGGTAACCCATCTACGTGACTGCCATCGTTCCGCCCGGGACACAGCACAAAAACGGTTTGGAGCCCGGAGAATGGCCGACCGGACAATCAGGAACCGTCTCCGAGAGGTAGGTATGCTTGCCAGACGTCCAAAGGTGGCCCCCCCTCTCTGATACGATTACATCACCATATGGTGTAACGCGGTGCAGCCATGGAACCTTGGAAACTGGAGGCACATATGGTTCAGTGATGAATTGCGGTATCCCCTCAAGCGACGTGACGGAAGACAACGTGTCTGCAGACCACGCTATGAACGTTTTGCATCCAACTGCATCAGGCAAGTAGACAGATTTGGTGGAGCTGGTGTGATGATGTGGGGAGCCATCTCTTACACCCGCAGATCTGAATTGGTGCTCGTCCAAGGCAATCTTACGGCCGCTCGATAGATCGACCAGATTCTCCTTCCTCACGCGCATTGCCTTGTCCACCGCCAAAGGGAGCTGTACCAACAGGACAACGCCAGACTTCACACAGCACGTGCTACGGTGTCAGGCCGGGAAAGCCACATTTAGAAAATGACTGTTGCCGGGAAGGCCACATTTCAGTTACATGGCAGTAGCCGGTAAAGCCACATTTCCAATAGATTATTAATTAATGGATTACCGTAACCGGTAAAAGAGTGTCCTCATGCATAATATTGTTTTCACAAGAAACGAATAATCTTTCCTACTCTGCTACAGTGGACTACCTGGACAATAACAACATCAATGTCCTGCCCTGGCCCTCTAGAACCCCGGATCTGAAACCAATTGAATACCTGTGGGATCAGACAGATAAACGTGTACGTTAACGTCGCAATCCGCCATTGAGGCTTTAACAGTAACTATTGTTCAACTTGCTGCAGGAGGAATGGAGGATTCCACAACGAAACATCCAACAACTGATTCAATCTGTGTCAAGGAGGTGTCGTGCAATTCTAGATGTAAGAAGTGGTCATACAAGGTAGTAACGTCAATGACTATGATGACTGTCATTCTTGTGAAATGTGCACGAGGTATTGCTCTGCATAATTTCAATTCTGTACCGTTTATTTTCGTTGATTTACATAATTGAATAAGACCAAATGTTTCAATGATATTTTGCTTTTGCGTTTCTTTTTTTGAAGAGTGTACTTTCTTCAACATCTAATTGATTGTCCTGGGAACATACCCAAGAGATCCAGTAAGTTGCACTGATATCCATCTAGTAGAACCAGATCATATTGATTATTATGCATACATATATTACTGAGATTCATGGTATATAATGGTAGTTGTAAAACACACATCACAAGGTACATTGTGATATACTACATGCCTATGTTGTGATAGGTTTATAAAAAATATGTTTTTCTTACTTTGGTGTTGCAGCTCGATTATGGGTACCGATGGTCAGTTACCCCAGAATGACACTTATAATCATCAGAAAAAATGGAACCATGGTTTTCTGAATCATATGCAATACTTATTACAGTTATCAGTGGTTCCAAAAAATTAACATGCACTTCCCACGGAAAGCATTTTTGCTACATAAGCCCCTGCACTACCAGCCACTGCTAAGCGCATTCATTGGAGGTGTCTCGTGAAATTTTGCGCAAAATTGTTTCCTCTACAGCGATCCAGAATGTCAAACCGCGGTGAAATCAGGTGTGACTGTACATGGAAAAGTTGCAGCTTTCGACCATTAACTGAACGAATGAGAAATGAGCCAGTTTTTCACAACAATCTGTTCCTCAAAATGTGTGACGTTACCTCACAAGTACACGGGTTTGTGGACCATTTAAATAACTCGTCCAGCTTCTATTGTGTCTTTGTGTAAAAGTCCAGCAAGGGAACTTTTGTCATCCGAATTTGGCTAGAGTGTATCTCTGTAAAAATACCACTTACGACAATCTCCCCCTCAGTGTTAATGTCTGCAACTGAGCTGTATATTTCACATACCACAGAAACCACAATACTGCTTGCATTTGTCACGTGCCCAATCTTCGTACTGAGTGCATACTGACTTGCCGTACTGGTGACAGTTAGGTTCCTCGTCACCACACATGGTCAGCTTAGTATCTGAAACACATGTTCTGTCTTAGTGTTCTGTAGGTGGTGATATATCAGTGTATGTCTTAATGTTCTGTAGGTGGTGACATATCGGTGTATATCCTAATATTCTGTAGGTGGTGACATATCGGTGTATATCCTTGTGTTCTGTACGTGGTGACATATCAGTGTATGTCCTAATGTTCTGTACGTGGTGACATATCAGTGTAAATCCTATATGTTCTGTCCTAATGGTGTAGGTGACATATCGGTGTATATCCTCATGTTCTGTAGGTGGTGACATATCGGTGTATATCCTAATGTTCTGTAGGTGGTGTGGTATATCCCTGTGTATCGGTGTATATGTATATCCTTGTGTTCTGTAGGTGGTGATAGATCTGTGTGTATCCTAATGTTCTGTAGGTGGTGATATATCTGTGCATATCGGTGTATATTCTGTAGGTGGTGATATATCGGTGTGTATCCTTGTGTTCTGTAGGTGGTGGTGATGGATAATGTTCTGTATATCCTTGTGTTCTGTAGGTGGTGATAGATCTGTCTGTATATCCTTAATGTTCTGTAGGTGGTGATAAATCTGTGTGCAGTATCCCTAATGTTCTGTAGGTGGTGATAGATCTGTGTGTATCCTAATGTTCTGTAGGTGGTGATAGATCTGTGTATATCCTGTGTGTTCTGTAGGTGGTGATAGATCTGTGTATATCCTAGTGTTCTGTAGGTGGTGATAGATCTGTGTATATCCTAATGTTCTGTAGGTGGTGATAGATCTGTGTATATCCTAATGTTCTGTAGGTGGTGATAGATCTGTGTATATCCTTAATGTTCTGTAGGTGGTGATAGATCTGTGTATATCCTAATCTTCTGTAGGTGGTGATAGATATGTGTATATCCTAATGTTCTGTAGGTGGTGATAGATCTGTGTATATCCTAATGTTCTGTAGGTGGTGATAGATCTGTGTGTATCCTTGTGTTCTGTAGGTGGTGATAGATCTGTGTATATCCTAATCTTCTGTAGGTGGTGATAGATATGTGTATATCCTAATGTTCTGTAGGTGGTGATTGATCTGTGTATATCCTAATGTTCAGTAGGTGGTGATAGATATGTGTATATCCTAGTGTTCTGTATGTTGTCAGGTTGCTATGTATATCCTAGTGTTCTGTATGTTGTCAGCTTACTGTGTATATCCTAGTGTTCTGTATGTTGTCAGGTTACTGTGTATATCCTAGTGTTCTGTATGTTGTCAGGTTGCTGTGTATATCCTAGTGTTCTGTATGTTGTCAGGTTACTGTGTATATCCTAGTGTTCTGTATGTTGTCAGCTTACTGTGTATATCCTAGTGTTCTGTATGTTGTCAGCTTACTGTGTATATCCTAGTGTTCTGTATGTTGTCAGGTTACTGTGTATATC